CAGGGGGGGGGGGGGTAATTGTCATGGTCCTTTTAAGGAACCATAACGCGATTAATAATTGTATATTACCACTACCACACTACTACTACTACCTATAACTACTACTACTACTACTACTATTAATAATGATGATAATAATAATAATATAATCCGAGTGAATAAAATTACGAAAAAGAAAGATTCTGTTAAGCCCTTCACACACAAATTAATGTAAACTGTCCCCTTGGAGGGGGAGTACTAGACTATGATTGATTGATTTCCTTACGCTTACGTCTTACGTCGTTACGTTATTTTGTGTGTGAAGGGCTTTAAATTCTTGTATCTCTTTCCATTACAGCGTATGATGTTTTGATTGAGAAACAAAGTTTAGCGCAATAATTGCTAAAGAATAATCTTTTCCAAATTTCAGGAGATACATCCTGATTTCAAATAAAATACGTGATAGTGCGTAGTACTTATGGTAACATAATTTTTTTTTGCAGCATATGTAAACTCACTGCATCATGCAACTTCCTAATAGTACCTGAGAAATTACTTGAAACTTTATTATGCAAATGTGATAACTAGCGGCCTGTAGAAAGTGGAAACTTCACAAACATCACACATGTATGGTTCCTTTGCGGATTGTTTGAAATATGTTTGTAAAAGAGTGCATGGCCTTTCATTTATCTTGTTTTCCCTTCGAATAGCGATGCAAAGTCGAGAAATTTAAATGTAGATATCTGTCAAGTGGAAACGATCTATTGGCCGGAATCAGAGAGGATCTCAAGCTATAACAATGTCGACGGAGGGAAGAAGAGAAGGAAATGAAAGTGAATGATAACGTTACACTATCGATTGTCCTCTTTATGTATTATCGTACATATTTGCACGCGACTTTAAAGGCTGCATAGGAATCGTGTGTCAGGGGGTAATAATAAATCCTATAAAATAGATTAATGAATATGCGACTCCCAATTTTTTGCATAAGACAATTTATCCTTTGGTTCAGGAATTAATACTGTCCATTATAACTCAATACACACTGATAATTGACCTCCAAGATCATTCTCTGCACTAATGTGCTCCTTACTTTTATTACACACCTTGATTCTTTCTTATCAGTTAATTTAAGGCAGCAGCTTTACTTTATGACATTTCATTACAAAAATATCTTTTAGTTTTACTACACGTATACAATACGGTACCCTATGGCTAGTTTGACACGTTTCCTTCTTTTTTTTTATTTCACCCTCCAAAAAGAAAGAAAACGAACGACACAATTTGTGCTATATCATCCACGCAGCGTAACTCTAGATTCTTTTTGAAATTCATGGCCTTGTTTCAGAACCGAATCCAAAGCTGCTTTGAGCATCGCAAAATTGCACGGCAATTATTCCAATTCTCCGAGGAAAGCACGTGCAAAACGTCATACCTTTTATTGAAGCTTGATCCGCTGTGACGCACAAATGAGCGTGCAGACACGTGGTGCAACCGCGAACAATATCGTACCTGGTAACTACTGGACACTGCATACGAAATAATACCTGTGACATGCGTCCGGCTCTATTTAGAAGGATCAATAGGCTTTCCATGAGTTGTAAAGTGTAGAAGACCCATTATGTTAATTATGTCTAGGATAAAAAAAATGTATTGCTTCTTTGATCCATGACATTGATCGATATTTTCTGTTTTCAAAGAAAGTGCAGTAATCATTTCAAGCTTACCAAGAAACAAAGGGCCAGAGACCAACAAATACCAAGTTGCTCTTGGTCAAGGTTTTGTACGTGTTGGTTCGCCTGCATTCATAGTGTTTTCTGATATTGTACCACAACATGATTTTCCATCTATAAAGCATTAAATGAGAATTTAAAGGATACTGATGTATCATCATATGGACCTGTTCTTATACCATTAATTCCAGATCGTCGAAGGAGAGCAACAGCTTCGGCATAAGAGGGCGGAGGCAATTCACTAGAACCTTCACCATGAGAAATCACTTCATATGATGGTGGCCCGGGTGTGGCTGCACCAGAACCACCAACCCCCTGAGCAATTGCTAGTTCCTGTAAATGCTGTTATACCATCAAACTCCAAAAATATATGATGCATAAAATCATCCAAGAAACTCTCCGCCATATTTTTCCATACAAGAATAAAGATAAAGAGAATACATTACTTACTCTGAAAAGTTGTCGCTGCCGAAAGATCATCTGTATGACAGATTTTCTCCTGAGGTAGAGCATGCATTTAACAGCAACCATCAGCCCGGAACAAATAAAAATTGGACCGATGAGCCACATGTGGCCCAAATTGAAAAATATATGTTTATCGGCAATATCACCAAGCGCCAAAATAGTAATGGCTGTACCAACAATAAAGAGAATCACGCTTAGAGTAAGATAGCTGTAGCTAGTGCAATCGCACCGTCCGAAGTTTGTCGGTTCCTCGTAACGTTCCTCTATTTGTTGTAGCCTGTTCGACAGGAACGGGCTATCGAAAACTGTGGCCATAATTTGATGCTCCGAGCCATACGAGTCTCGCGGCCTTACATACGCCTCTCCGCTATGCGTTTATTATATTGGTGTAACGAGATGACAAGTGGAGGCCCTCTGGCTGCTTCATTGACTTCTTCCGAGAAAGATCACGAAGAACGGTCAACAGTTACGTACGATAGATTCGCATTATCTGTTCTTCTACGTCTAACCCCTTGATTTTTCTTGATTGTTTCTTTCTACCGATGATTGTGTTTCTCGTCTCGCACTTACTTGTCTGCGGTACTTGTAATAAGGCAAGCGAAGCCAGTAATTAACCTGAATCCTATCAAAGACATAATTGGACCTTGTTACACTTTGTGAAGAAAAATTAACATTAAGGTGAAACAAGTTACTTTGGAGGTTCTGGCATCCAAAGGCAAGTGCTGCTCTTCGTGAATTTAATATATCCGTATGATAAGATAACCGTTGGTCGAGTCGTTTCATCGGCGAACGCTTATAGTCCTTCTTTCCTTTCCTTATGCCTGACTCCTCCAATAAGAAGATGTCCCAGAACGCTTATAGTCCTTCCTTCCTTTCCTTATGGCTGCCTCCTCAATGAGGAGATGTGCCAGAACGCTTATAGTCAGTTATATACTTGGTTATACCAGAGATGAGTAGGGAGATTGCTAATCGTCCTGTTTTTCTTGGCCTCACTTATATTCTGGTTTCGACACGCCACCTTAGCGGAGGACCCTCGAAGCAGTTCCACGTTTTTGATTGGTGGAATGAATTCGTGTGTTCCTCGAGATCCACGATTTTAAGTCGGGTGAACACTCAAATAGGCAGACTTTTATCCACCTTTTTTTTTTACTGGAAATTACATAAACCGTAGTAACGCTGTAGTTAATTGTGCCGATGCTAATACCCTTAATATCCATATGAAGCTTTGGAAATAATAGAATAAGCAAATAAAACTTTAAACAAACCCTCGAACGTAGGTAACTACAGAAATATAAGTTTCCTAAATGATATATATAATAATGACTCGGTGGCACACGTGCTTGGTGCTGGATTAACGTCCGAGAGTCTGAGTTTCGAAACCCACACTGCATCCCTTTTTTTTCAATTATCAACTATACTTATTGGTTTACCTAATTAATTTAAGATTCATTGAATACATGATCATATTAGACTACAAATATTGTACTATATTACATCGTATACATGCAATAAATTGGTACATGAATCAGCGAACGTTTCTTTTTCCCCACAGCATGCCTGTGACAAACACCTATGGCACGCTGTTTCATTGTTTAATAACATAAATAATATTTAGACGGATAAAGAAGGCATTACGAAAAATTAGCAAAAACAAAATTGCACTTATTAATCTCGGGTATAAAATGATGAGCATATAAAAATGAACCAATTATTTTCTATGAAGAGATGAAACAAATAATGTATCTGGTTAGGGATTTTTTTCTCATTAAATTTTTATCATTTAAGGCTACGTAAAGACAACATTTTAAATACATCGAATTATCAGAATATTATGTCGAGGTAGAATTTTAATTCTGAATTATTTTTTACATCTGAACATACTGATAATTCGAGATATTAAAAATAAAACTAACTTTCCGTAGGCTTGAATAAAAAAAAATTGACTAAATTGAATCAGACTACCAAAAACGTATGAAACTAAAAATTTCTAAGCAGATACACCATTTGTCTCATCTCAGTATACATATAAAATAATTGTGTGGTTTTTTACGCTTGAAGCTGAAGAAAAGGGATGAAGTGTGGGTTTCGAAACTGAGATTCTCGGACGTTAATCCAGCACCAAGCTTGTGTGCCACCGTGTCAGTATGACGTATATCATTTAGGAAACTTATATTTCTGTAGTTATCTACGTTCGAAGGTTTGTTTAAAGTTTTATTTGCTTATTCTATTATTTTCAAAGCTTCATATGGATATTAAGGGTATTAGTATCGGCACAATTGACTCCCGCGTTACTACGGTTTATGTAATATCCAGTCAAAAAAAAGGTGGATACAAGCCTCCCTATTTGAGTATTCACCCGGTTTAAAATCGTAGATTTCAAGGAACACACGAATTCATTTGACCAATCAAAAACGTGGAACTAGTTCGAGATTCTCGTTCAGGTGGCGCGTGGACGCACCAAAGTACGGACACCAGATTCTCACGAGTCGTGTAATATTTCTTGATAAACTTGAACATTTTTCCGTATTCCGAGAAGGAAAATGCGCATCTTATAGTTTCTGGTAAATGTGATTATCATACCCTCGTAGTACCTCACGCTATGTATCCCAATTCATACTTGTTACATCCATCGCGTGTCTTTCCGCTGCGAACGTAAGGCAATAACGGATATTATAAGCTGCGCGACATGTGAGCAAATACATGCCTATATAGAATCAAGTAGGATTGTATCCAGAAGTGAGGAAAGCAGGATACCTATGCCAATTCTTTGAGCCAGTCTGCAACCATATTATTTGGTCTATGGATTACTTGGGATTAATGTGCTTTACGCAGAATCACGCAGAGTCGTTGGCGCACTGGGATGCGAGGCGTTGCTTCTGGGTTCGAGGCTTTCTATATATATACAGCCATCTTTCCGATATTACCGGCAGTCATTGCGAATATCTTATGATGAGTCTTTCATCCATTGTACCAATCACCGTGGCCAGAGGCTAGAGAGTTCACATTTAACATTTGCTTGTAGCCGAGAATGCCGGTGAAGGTAGACGTGGTGCCTCCACCGCCGGCGAACTCCAAACAACCAGGAGTCACAAAATCTCTTCTTTATAACGGTTCGCGATTTCAGGGATCTCAAAAATCCAAAGGCAACAGTTACGACGTGGAAGTCGTTTTACAGGTTAGATAATTTAATCTCTCGCTCGTATACATCCTTCGCTGCCTTTCCGAAAATTGCGCCTTATTTTTTAATCGTTTCCTGTACGTACTCATTTTCTTGGTATTTATTGTTTATCATTCTTTATTTATTCTTCTGATATTCGAACTAGTTGCGCATGTTTTCTGCATTTATAATGACGATGCTTTAGACGTTGGACATCTTATTTATTTAAGTGTAACCTGCCACATATTCTATCGTGAATGCCTTAACATTTGTTGTTTTTCTTATATATTCGGATTATTATATATTCCGCATATACTCTGCGGATTTATTACCTATCTTTTTATTTATTGACAGTTGATTGTTGTTGGATTTAAATTATATTTTTATAAGTATGTATCATTATTATGAAATTGTTTTTCCTTTGGGAATACAAAATGTGTGTCCTCCTATGTAAAGAATAATTGGGTTATTTTTATATAAATAATATTCATTTGATCGTGGATTCTGTTTTCATGTAGCACGTGGACGAAGAAAACAGTTACTTATGTGGCTATTTGAAGATTAAGGGTCTTACTGAGGAATTTCCCACGCTAACAACATTTTTTGATGGAGAAATAATTTCGAAGAAGTATCCCTTCCTTACACGAAAATGGGATGCTGATGAGGATGTTGATAAAAAACATTGGGTGATTTATCATTCATCATTATATTGTATATCAAATACAAATATGAAGTGGTATTTATACACTATGTCTTATTTTTGTATTTCTATATTCTTTCTTACATATTCCACAGAGCAAATTTGAATCATTTTGTCAGTACGCAAAGACATTCAACTCTGATACCTTTGATTATGAGGCATTAAAGGGTACAGACTTTGTGTTTATGAGGTGGAAGGAGCACTTTTTGGTTCCTGATCACACAATAAAAGATATAAACGGTGCATCCTTTGCTGGTTTCTACTATATCTGCTTTCAAAAATCGGCGGCATCAATCGAGGGCTACTACTATCATCGCAGTTCTGAATGGTGAGTTTATTGTATTTTTTTTAAGATTGATCCTTAAGTATTTTAATATTATTTTTAAGACCAAACGCTGAATGGTCAATCGAACAGACTGTAGTGGATTTTATGTACGTGGTTGTGTAAAAATTTCTTGGAATGATTTAAAGGTGCAACCAAATAGCAATTAATGTTGCGAGAGATTCTTTACCGTTCCTTTTGTTATCGTCACTCGCGATGATGTAAAAGTCTGACACTTTGTCAAAGTATGTGCAGTATCAGGTGATGTTAATCAGCACGCCACTGCATGGTTCTGCTTTATGAAAAGCCAGATCGCAAGATATTTGGCAGTCAAACAAAGATTGTTGTAGAAAAGCAATAAGATATACATATGTATTTGTTTGAATATGTTGAATGCTAGAAAGAATTTGCATCTGGGCTTCAAGATCCATAATCTTTAATCGCGCATCATACACATGTAGTACCGAAATTTCTTGCACTTGGCATCATATCAAAAACGTCGCATAGTTTATTGTGTTCTAAAAGAAATACAGGGTGAATCACGAATCGTGATCAGTAGAGATTACTTTTTTATTAGCAGTCCGATCGAAAATGTTTTTATCAGCTTTTACATGGTTTTAAGAGAGCTTTAACGTGATAGTGAAAAATTACTGGTCAACTCTTTTTTTTTAATGTTTTTTAAAGGTTACCTTGAACTTTTGGCAACTGAACATATAATTTTTTTTACGCCTATCTGTTAGAGGATTTCAAGACGAATTCGGCACATGTAAGGACATGACATTTTTTTCATCTGGTTCGAAAGAAAATTAAAAAACTTTGTATCACAAGGAGAATTACAGCTACGCCGTTATACGCATTCATTCTGTCGTCTTCAGTCGCCATCAGTGTAGAAGAAGGCCATAAAGAATGCAAAACAACCTTTTGTTCACCGTCTACGCAAGTGCATTGCAGCTCGTGGACACCATTTTGAACATCGCTACAATTAAGATTGGTAAATTTTGACTTGTCAACAACATTGGATGCGTAATAACGGCGTAGCTGTGATTCTCCTTGTGATACAAAGTTTTTTAATTTTCTTTCGAACTGGGTGAAAAAAATGCCATGTGTTACATGTGCCGAATTCTTCTTGAAATCCTCTAACAGACGGGCGTAAAAAAATTATATGTTCAGTTACAAAAAATTCAAGGTAACTTTGAAAAAACATTAAAAAAAAGAGTTGACCAGTAATTTTTCACTATCACGTTAAAGCTCTCTTAAAACCATGTAAAAGCTGATAAAAACATTTTCGATCGGACTGCTAATAACAAAGTAATCTCTACTGCTCACGATTCGTGGTTCACCCTGTATAGCAAAGCCATTTCCATTCTGCACCTAAAGATGAAGGATCACTGCGCATTCAGCTATAGCGCTCCTTACAAAGATCATTGTCGGGTGGCAAAAAGTTGTCTAAGTAATATATGTACGTAATGGCTCAAGAGATTACAGGAATTTGTATGAGGGGGTGGCATCAAAAGATAAGATAATTTAATCTGCAATTTGTTAACACAAATAAAAAGAAAAAGTCTGTAGTTGTGGTCTATGTATAAACGTGTGGTTTTTCGTGTTTCAGGTATCAGTCCCTAAATCTGCGGCATGTTCCGGAACACAGTATACAAATTTACGAATTCAGGTGAAAGTGAATGGGTCCTGCCTCGATTGTTTCTACTCTAATACTGTCCCCCTTCGATGTTTCCAATTTCCTTATCCTTTTTAGCACACGGATCTCATATTAGCATGTGACGCGCGCTAACGTGAAAATGTGTTTTCGAGAGTAATTTTCTGAACTTTTTGCGTAAACTTTTATCTCATGATTAAGAGGTAATTGCTGAATCGATGTAATACGTATGAAAGCGAGAGATAAACACACGGAGTGATACGTATATAATACATACGTGTGTATGTATGTAGTTAGAGAGAGGGGAGAGCAACGGGGGGGGGGGTTAGTAGAGGGTTCAGGATACGCGGTGGCATAATTTTGATTGATTTTTTTGAGCTTTGGGCAAATTACGAGATGCAAGATGAGGGTCTTTCCTTTATTCGTATTAACGGTGAGGACTGTGACGTAGGATACGTAGAAAACGAAAAGAACATGAGGGATTCGTGATCGGTATGTCGATGAGGAACGGAGTGCCTCGACGAGTGATACGCTTGCTTATTAATAACGATTAATTATGTATACGGATATTCATTGTAAGGTCTTTTAATTGAAATAAATTGATATCTTTTGTCAATTAAAGTCATCGTTGTTAATTTCTTCACGTTGGAGTACGCTGAGTTAAAAAGTCTTTTCTTTTCAATGATTCTTTTTATTTTTAATATTTTTCTTCATCTAATTAGTCCATCCAATCGAACTTAAATTAAAGACATTTAATCAGATTCGTGATGTGCTCCAATGGTTATACTTTTAATTCGCTTGCTTGTAAAGTATTGACGGAACGTGTATATTACTTAACGAAGTTTATGGACATTTGTTTGTGAATCTGTACGAATGAACAACGAAAAGCGAATAGATTGTTACTGTAAAAGAATGAATCTTTGTAACGTTGAAAGAGAGTTTGGTGGAAATATGTGTTTAGTGTCATATTATATTGTAATAGGCGTGAATTTTTCATTGAAATTTTACGTCAATCAAATAAGAGTCACAATATTTCTACTGCTGGTAAATATTCATTTTAAAAAAGCAATATGCCATCCTCAATGTCCATTAATTGTGCATCGTAGCATTTGTCGCCCGTGAGTGGCCTAAGAAATAACCGACAAATGATAATGATTATACTTTTTAACTGCGAACACTAGACAGGAACAAAGAATGTATTTTTAAACGTTGCATAGTTTTCATAAACCGCATATCACGTGCCGTTGGAAACTCTAAATTGTTGATCATGTCCTAGTACTTCAGGTCGATTATTCAGAGTCGATCACTACAATTTTATTCTATAAGTTGTCACGATGTCTAAGATTTGTGTGAAGAGTGATGAATTGTTGGTCAGTGAAAATACCGTTGATGCTGCTGATATACAAAAATTATACGAATTACTGTAAAATCGTAACGTTTGTAGAGCTTTGATATTCACAAATTGAGAAATAGGAAGCATCAGGAAGAATCATCATTGTTATTTATGTGCAAGAAAAAGAGCAATCTGTGGTATATCTTTTAATAGTATTTTTAAGAGTTCAAATTGCATGAGACACTCATTCCGCGTGCGATAACTAGGTTGTTTTGCGCATTGTTAGGCCAATCGTAATGTCTATATTTTCGTTTTTACTTTCTTCGCCAATCGCATAAAGTACTACTAACCGCTGAATGCCTCTTTAGATGCGCGCCATGTACAGCAGCTTTTTGCAATTATTGGATTGAAGCGTAAATGCTATGTAACGAATGTGCGTTTATTCTTCGTTCCTTTCTAAGCGAAACCAAGGTGGTTCAAGATATTTCGGTATATGTACGCGGTCCACGCTTATCCGTTTCCCATTTCAAGTTCAAATTCTATTCGAAAGATTTCCTTATTATTCAGCGTAAGGTAAGGTATAGAGGTGATAAGTTTCTTGACGCTGTGGGCTAATAGCGCAAGAAGAATAACATTATTTGTGGATATGTGATTAGCCACGATAATATCGTAAATGACGTGATGGACGTGGATACCGTGGCACTCACAATCAGTAAAGATCGGAAGTTATAGTTTCAATTACTGACTTAATGTTTTTTTAACATTCATATTGGAGTATACAATTTATATGAGACGAATTGGTATATCCTTATGAAAAGAGCGTGCCGTCGATAACAATCATAGTATTGTATTTGTTTTCGAATAACGTGAAGATTTATCGTGTTTGGTTTGCAAAATTTAAGAACGGAATTTTATTCTTGTCGTTATTGTTGCTGCTATTTTGAGTTATGAGCTACTTTGAATATCAGGAGAAAGTATCACTATTCGACGATCTTTGATGTCTGCCTTTTGTTGTGGCTTATCTATAAACCGTTGCCAATTTCAGTCAGAGAGACTGATTGATTTTTTTCTCTTTCTCTAATCGAAGTTCCTGCAGATCGCTTAACCAGTCTTTTGATGTTCGTCCGGACGGTGGTGCGTCTACTTCTTCTTTTCGTGACACTCTTTACGCGACTATTTTTCTTTGATGCGCACGTCGACGCCGTACTCACCTGTCGAAGATTTTTGTACAAGTTGTGGAAGAAATGGAGGAAACGGAAAAGAATATGGTTACCAAAACATTGGAGCAAATCTGACAAAGACAGCTAGGGGCTGTATTGTTTGCAGAAGTAGCGGTATAGGCGGTGCTATTTAAGGTGGCTTCAAAATCAAGAAACTTCATGTCAAAATTGATTTTAGCTTTGATTAAATCGCTAAAGGATGGTTCAATGTCGCTCCTGGTCATGGCGTCCTCGGTCCTGTCGGTTGACTTTATCTCGTTTTGTTGTCGATGATCTTTCGCCACCGCGAGATTAAACGGAGCGACTGAGGTATCGATGAATGTATTTTCTTCTTGATTTGAGCTCCGACTTTGGACTACAGTCGCTCCCATCGGGAGTATTTGAGACTCTTCGCCGCGTAATAAAGCTGCAGTTTTTAAAATTGTACGGTCGCTTTTAAATGTAATTAATTGTAATATGTAATGCGTGCGCGTATATGTGATGTAAATCGCGCAACTATAGTTTACAGTTCCTTGCCGAGGCTCACTTACTAATAAAGTTCTGTAAACAGTCCGTTGTAGCCTTGTCGTAAGTAAGCAGTGACTTGAAGGAATCGTCCAAGGTCTTGTCTGCGAAATAGGTTCTCGCCAGAACAGAGTCTTCCCAAGATTTGTCTTGAACCCTATTCGCATTCGCCATGAGTTTCCATTGCTCGTGCGATATCTTCGACTGCCACCCAACGGCACAATCTTCGAATCGACGATTTGCGGATTTGATCAATTCCACGGCTTCTTTCAATGCTCTGGGAACAGGATCCTGATACTCCTCAGTGAAGGTGAATTGGCCTGGCCTGTAGGCTATTACGAAACTCACCTGTTCCGGACCGGAAGACGTCATATCCAGTTGGATTTATATTCGAGAGTGTGTCTTCTTGGGAAATTAGTCTATACATATAATCACAATGGGCATACTGGTCGGTCGAACACAAATTAACAAGGACTAAATGAAACGAAAGGACTGAAACTAACGAGTAATTTCGTTCAATATAAAAGAGAATCCTCTTTAGATGTGGTACGTGTATAAATGAAAGACAGTGCGAGAATTCGATAAATCATAGATCAAAATAGACTCTTTTAGTCTTCATCGGAGGTGTTATGTTTAAACAAATAATAAAAAAAAGCACTATCAGTTGTACATAACCGGCACTCTTGTGCCATGGAACCTGAAAATGCGTGACATTAATTTCGACGTTGCGTGTTGTAACGGACTTGTAAATGAAAAGCGGTAGCCATCGTGTTGACAAAACCGACTACCCCCTGTATTTCTGTATTTGTCTCTTCAAACTTATTTGATACTCCGTTACTTGTATCTACAAATGACATATAGTGCCTACTCCATATATTTTAAATAAGAATCTAATGACAAAATCCGCAATCATTTAGTTGCCACCCAAATATAATACACATCCAAGTCTTTCGTGTTCTGTTTCTATCGGGAGACACGAATACCTGAGAGGAAGTAGGCTGAATAATCCTGAAGTGTACGGTATTATTCAAAGAAAGTTGACGAATAGACCCCAATATCAAATACTCATAGCAAAGAATCGTAAAGTAGTTCCTAGTGAGATATATGAACATGAAATAAATATTTTGGCATTCATATAATTAGTAAGTGCATTTTTATGTACAGTAGAAGTATGGTAGACAAAAATTATAATATTTGGTCTAATCGGAAATTGAAATATCGATCGTAAGTTAAATTGTAAACTCTATATGCGAACGAATCACATCCATTTCCCTGATCGCTGTTGAATATTTCGAACTCAACTATGCAAGGGTATGTCTGCAGAATGCCCGCCTGAGTAATTTTGATTTTTTTTTCTAAGCCAGTTTTGCGTCGTAATTAAGACAAAGAAGAAAATCGTCCAGAGGGGCATTACATGGAGGTGCGATTCTTCTGTTTCTTCCCCTGTAATTGGAACCACTCTGTGCTCTCTTACGCATCATTTCATTTACTTTCAGTTGCAGTACGACATTACGAGATATTTATTAGTCTCGTTAGTACAATCATGAATAAATACGTACATCCAATTTGCGTATAATGTAATAACAATAAGTATTATATACATGCGCGTATATAACTTGGTGAACCGTGTACACCGTACGTAGATATACATTGTGCACGTGCCTTCACAAGACGAGTCATTTCTCAAAAATTTGTCACTGAAACGCCAAGACATTATCATTTGTAGTTTAGTCAACTCAACTTCACATTGGTGTTGCCAGTGATTTGTCATTCACTTTTCTTTACATTTCATCACTCGACGCACTGATCACAGGTAAGTACAAAAACTGATGTTTTCGACGACGAGTCACTGTCAGCCGCCCCCAATCAGTATCTAATATAATAGGTTTAAAGTAGGTAGAATGAAGTTTGTACACCATAGTTGTCTCTCACAGAATACTAGTAGTCACCACTTGCTACGGTGAACCGCTGATAGCTGCTATCTGGTTGTGGCACGAGACCGTAGTAAAAAAAAAAGACAAGATGATCGAACGTGATTAATACAACGTTCTGTACATATAAATAATCACAACGGATATTACTCAGTATATTCCGTATGTATTTGATGGATTTTTGTAGTGATATACGCACGAGAATGTCCTCATCGTGGAAGAATAATATCTTAAAGGACTGGACGTCGTGTGTTAGTAAGCATGGAAAAGTGCATTACTTGGCGTCATCGTACTTTCGTTTCTGAGGCAGAAGATCGTGTAAGTACGCCTTTCGTTAAGAACTCAAGCCATCAAGTGAGTAACTATTTCAGTACTCGCTTGCACGTACCATTTAATGCGAGAAGTGTTAATCGAGTGTATATGAAAAGAATCAGAGGTACACTCGTTCATGGAGTCATTTCGTGCTCGATGCATCCTCAACTTCATGTACCATGGGCATTGACTCGATCGCTTGGCATTGCCTGGCATTATAGAATGCGTGTCGGATACTGCGCTGACAAAGAAATATTTACATGGAAATAAAATTCCTTAAATGAAATGTTCCTTAATATCTTTTCTCTCGTACCTGCGCTTTCTTATCTTTATCAGGAATATCTTGTCTCGTTCGCTCTGGATAGTCTTTTTATGGGTTGTTGATTTATGTAAGGGACGATTCTAAGCTTTACCCTCAGGATATTACGCAAGAGTTTCTACCAACGCAGCTCGTACGCGTATCTGCGATGCTGCCAGCAGGAGAGCTGCCCGGCGTTGTGGCTCCGTTATGGTTTGGTGTAACTTGGATTCTTAGTTTCCGATGATGAGAGCCCAGATTCTTGCTTGAGCTCAGGGAACGATTCCCATTGTTGTATCGAAGCTGAGAGGTGGTCGTCGTCATTGCGTACGACTTTAGGTGGGATTTTATGGATATCGGTAATGGGAGCTGGTCAATACCGTATACGGTAGTTCTCGCTACGATAGCCCGACAGGCCAACTCTTGGAGGCTGAGGACTACAACGAAATCAAATCATAGTCGTTATCATATATTTGATACTTGTAAAAAATGAGACGCAGAGTATTATAATAAAAAATTAACCTTTATTCGAACGCCAGAGCCTTTCCATGCCATTGCGATGAAGCGCCATTCGGGATAGCTCAGAGAAACTCTCACGGATGTTGAAGTCGCACAGCGGTGAGACCTCAAAGAAGGCCATACGATTTTTCGCTGCGTATGTCTCAGCCTCACGTTCTCCAACTTGTCTTTTAAAGGCAAGATGAAGACGATTACCGACTAGTACCTTCGGTACTCCCGGTGCGTGCTACGACATTCAGAAAGAAAGTTCGTAGATAGTTTTTAACGAAGTTGTTAACTCTACTAACCTCCTCGACTTCCTTAAGCCATCTGTCGATACCATCAAAAGACCACTTGTTAGTTATATCGTATACGAGAAGTATGCCTTGCGCTCCACGCGAATACGATCTAATTATCGTACAAAATCTCCCTTGGCCCGATGTATCCCAGAGTTGTAGTTTTACTCGTTTACCATCCAGAAGAATCGTTGTAGTTTTGTATGCTATAAAACGGAAATAGAAGAAAATATAAACGAGATAAAGACACGTTTTCTCTTACAAAAAATGTTGAATCGATTAATATCTTTCATGAGTTTACACATTAAAGTGCTTTATATGGCAATGCTACTTTTAATCTAACAATATCAGGGTACAGCAGATGCGCTGAATGAAACAAAGCCACGACTAACGCATTATATGCATATCCTAGCTAAACTGTAGAGTATGACTCCTTGATGAAATTAGCTATAGTATTTATTTTTCAACACAAGACTGTTCAAGCAGCAATCATATTCCGCAGTTTTACCCATATTCTTTGTTGGATTAAATTTGTTTGATACTTAGTATAAAGACTGATGTATTCCTAGTACAAACCAATTTATAAGCTGCAATGTACTGTACGATGTATTCATTTATTATTTAATAAATGAAGTAGAAAGGAAGAATTCAAATTGTTATCGCTGATATTGAAAATGAGATCCTGAATGGTGCTTGACGTTAAGAACTTGAATTTTACCAAAGAGGATGTCTCCGTTAAAATGGAATAACCTATCGTCGAATGGAAGCAAAAGCATTTGTGACTAAATAAATGGATCATATTGAGAGCAAGCGAAATGCGAATAGCAAAAATCGTTTATGCGTGTGTGTATGTGTACCACTGCCACTGCAAAAGGGCGATTCTGCCGCACCATCCTCCAGGCCGCTAAGGATTTCTTGTTTTCCCACGTCGCTGTCGCCGACCAGAAGAAACTTCAAAAGGTAATCGTATTGTTTCTCTTGACGAGGCTTCGTGGCGTTGGCCTCTCTTGCAGCCATAATACTCGCGATTCGCAAACTTTACGCATACTGCACACGACTCTTTGAGCGATGCTCGTGTCCTGCAGTGGTCTATCGCCGTCCCTATCGCGGATCTTCCTCTTCCTTCTTCTCTTCTTCTTCGTCTTCGTCTTCTTCTTCTTCTTCGCCGCCCTTGTTCGTCTAACGTATTCGTACACGGCACACTTGCTGCACGACGTCCAGCACAATTCCACGAGGAGGCCAGAGTCTTGCACGTACTTGCACAGGATAATCGCGCAGTACCTGGCGCGCTTCGATAAGGACTGTCCGAACGAAACTTATCGCGCTCTTCCAGGGGCCTGTGTCCCACTTGTGGGAGAGACCATAACAAAACAAGGTTCTGCCTAAGCGTCGAATACTGCAGTGTGCTAAAGAATAGCGATCAACTGTCGACGAGTACTATACTCTCAGCGGCTATAGGCAGAGTTATAGGAGAGTACAGGAATTTCGGGTTGCCGCAACGGATGACTGAAGTGACTGCAGTCGGTTAAACATGAACGACGGAGTACAGGCACTGACAGGCACCTTTAACAGTTTTGCCGGACAAGCTGTACGTTTAAAACTTGACTTCACAGCGTTGACGGTCCAGTACCATCGACATACAAGACATATAAGACCGTGGACCCTCCGCTAAGGTGGCACGCCGACATCAAAATGAAGTGAGGCCACGAAAATCGACCCAGTGGCTGGCAATCTCAGTATTCAACTCTGCTATTAACACATCCGCTATCTGTGACAATTTTAAGCGCATAGTCAAAGTTGTGGAATTTTTTTTTCCTTACATACTTTTAATTAAAACGTAATAACTGTAAGCGTATTGCGATGGGCATTCTCGAAAAAATATCCGAAATTGAGAAAGAGATCGCGAGAACTCAAAAGAACAAAGGTTTGTACTAGGTTAGGTACTACAGTAGTAACGTTGAAGACTCATTTAATTAGCTCACTCTCGTAAATAAACATTAATAGCTACGGAATATCACCTTGGACTTCTAAAGGCAAAACTAGCAAAGTATCGCTCACAACTTTTGGAGCCAAACAAAAAATCTGAAAAAGGTGAAGGTTTCGATGTCCTAAAATCAGGAGATGCTCGTGTGGCATTAATCGGCTTCCCTTCTGTGGGTAAATCAACACTGCTCAGTACCTTGACGCATACTGAATCCGAAGCTGCATCTTATGAGTTCACTACCCTCACTTGTATTCCCGGAGTCATTGAATATAAGGGTGCAAACATTCAACTTCTTGACCTTCCTGGCATAATAGAGGGAGCTTCACAGGTTAGTATGTCCAATGTCACATATACAGATTGAAACTCTTTAATACTTTTATTTAATAACACACACAGGGTAAAGGACGAGGCCGACAAGTAATTGCAGTAGCAAGAACGGCAGATCTAGTTCTCATGATGTTGGATGCGACTAAACAGGATGTCCAGAGACAGCTCTTAGAAAAAGAATTGGAGTCAGTTGGCATACGATTAAACAAAAGAAAACCAAATATTTATTTCAAAATAAAAAAAGGCGGGGGCCTTTCGTTCAACTCAACTTGTCCATTAACAAGAATTGACGAGAAATTAGTTCAACTGATTCTACATGAATATAAAATTTTTAATGCTGAAGTACTCTTTCGCGAGGATTGCACGCCCGATGAACTGATCGATGTAATTAATGCCAATAGAGTCTACCTCCCTTGCCTTTATGTTTACAATAAAATTGATCAAATCTCAATAGAGGAGGTAGACAGAATCGCCAGACAACCGAACAGCGTTGTCGTTAGGTTTGTGACTCAATATACAATTTCTATCGATTTGTGGCAAATCAAGCTAAACACTTTCTTCGTGTTGTGCCCTTATCTTCGATTTTGCAGTTGCAACATGAAACTGAATTTGGACTTTCTATTGGAAACGTTATGGGAATACTTATCTCTGATAAGAGTTTACACAAAGAAACCAGGACAACCGCCCGATTTCGATGACGGACTTATTCTGAGAAAAGGAGTTACGGTGGAACACGTGTGCCATGGAATTCATCGTACGCTTGCTGCACAGTTTAAATACGCACTGGTTTGGGTAAGCTATCATCGAATACAAATCGCGAAAAAAATTCAAATTGAATTGCAATGAAAGTGATTTTAATTTCATTCCTAGGGAACCAGCACCAAGTACTCACCCCAAAGAGTGGGACTGCAGCACGTAATGCACGACGAAGACGTAATACAAATACTTAAGAAATAAATTTTAAAATGTACCATCCGCACGTTCGCAGCTTGTACATAAATTTCATATAAACAATAGTAATTGATCGGAGCAAGATGAATCATCAAAGTATAAAACGGTCACTTTTTGGAATAACTAAGTACTACACTTAACAAATTTGTTTAAAAAAAATCTATAATCGGGCCGCGAAAACCAATTCCACTTTGAGAGTACTTATTTACGTTTCAGTTCGTAAACTGACGGCCCCGCGAAATGTAACCTACGTGTCGCAACCCGATTATAGTACCTGAAGCGGTAACCCATATTTCAGTTCTGTTGTATAAAGTTTTTAATACATTTTTATTCCATACAAAGTCCATACAAATTTTCCTTGCACACTAAAGATAAGACAAGAGACTTTAAGTCTTTATAAGGTTCGCAGCTGTCCATATGCAATAGGTTTCTTCTCGTTGTTTCCTCGTTACATAAAATTTATGCACTTTTCCAATAATGCAAATTCTTATTGGAAGACATCTTAAGTAACCAGCAAGAATTTGGCCGTTTTCAAGAGTGCAGAAAATGTAGGTAACAAGGACAAACCTAATAAGTGTTTTCGTTCTGTCCTAAATTATTTCTTTAGTTTCCTGTCGCAAATACTGGCGCTCTTTTCAATTTTTCATATTTCATGCAATAATTAATCACCACCAAAAATTTTAATTGTGGTGTTTGTAACCATCATACGATTAGCTTCGATCCGGGTCCATCCAGACTTTTGAGAATGATTTTCATTAAGAAATAGGCATTGGATGCATGTAGCCTACTTCAAAACCATGCGACATGATCTTTGTCGTGTTCACCGATGATTTTTCCTAATTTTTAGAAAAAATTAGGAACGGTCAAGCGTTTTCAACGTTCAAGCACGTCGATTAAAATTTGGGCTAATTTAATTGTCAAATTTTAATTGTTTAATAAAAAACTCATCCATAATGTCCATCCACTATGTCACTCCAACCCTTGCCGTTCAGCCATTTTATATCTCATCGGAATAAAACCTTTACCATTCGAACTGAATGGAAATTTTCTAAAAAAGACATTTTCGGTTTTTTGAAATCTGTCATAGTTTCGCAGAAATACACAAAAATTCAAGTGTTCCACTTTAATTATCCATTACTGTATTAGAAAATTCATTCTTTCGAATGGGACTAACAGGAAAGGTTAGTAAACGATACTTTTTTCAAAAACTAAAAAAAAATGGAATCTGGACGCTGCACGTACTTACCTCGAATTTAAAAAAAAAGTTGTGAGGGTGCAAACCATGGAATGGAGTGGAGATGTACTAGAGACTATACTCTTCCGTATGAGATCAATAGGAAAGGTTAGCAAACGATACTTTTTTGAAAAACTCAACAAAATTGTGTTTAGACGCTGCATTTGCTATGTACTTATCTTGAATTTACAAAAAACGGTGAGGGTCCAAACGACGGAATGTAGTGGAGATGTACTAGAGACTATATTCTTTCGAATGGGACTAATAGGGAAGCGATAGAAACCTACGTAAAAGATGTACGAAATTGAACGAAAATGTCTCGTGGAAATGATCTCAGACAACTCCAAATGGTCTGAAACGCGAAAAAAACATGAACCCTGGAAACAAATTTCCATAACCTAACACATCCTACAGCCTATAATCAAGATCAGAGATTCCTTGAACGTGGCTCTATTGCCATTTGATCTGTGTCAGCCTATTCTACTATGGACCATTATGACTTTCTGGATGAAGACATCTTTAAAAATTTCAACGAGAAAGAAGTAGATCCAACCGTTTGCGCGATACAGCCCGCCGAAGGTGAACTTTCGAAGACCGGATATTCCCTGTACGTGGCCCTATGGATATTCGATCTGTGCCAGCCTCTTCTATGGACCATTCTGAGTTTCTGCATTGAGAGATCTCTAAAAATTTCAACGAGAAAGCCATAGATCCAACCGTTTGCGCGAAACAGCCCGCCGAAGGTGAAATTTCGAAGAACGGATATTCCCTGTACGTGGCCCCACGGTAATTCTATCTGTGCCAGCATCTTCTGTGGACCATTCTGAGTTTCTGCACTAAAAGATATTTAACAATTTCAACGAGAAAGCCATAGATCCAATCGTTTGCGCGATACAGCCCGCCGAAGGTGAACTTTCGAATACCGGGTATTCCCTGTACGTGGCCCTATGGATATTCGATCTGTGCCAGCCTCTTCTATTAGATCCAACCGTTTGCGCGATACAGCCCGCCGAAGGTGAACTTTCGAAGACCGGATATTCCCTGTACGTGGCCCTATGGATATTCGATCTGTGCCAGCCTCTTCTATGGACCATTCTGAGTTTCTGCATTGAGAGATCTCTAAAAATTTCAACGAGAAAGACATAGATCCAACCGTTTGCGAGATACAGCCCGCCGAAAGTGAAATTCGCGTGTTTTCAGAATCCGCGAACGGGAATTTCTTGTACGTGGCCCTAACTTTGATTTTTGATATTTTTCTTATATAATTAATAAATTGGGACTACTCAGCGGAGCTGGTGCAGCTAATCCGAGAAGGCCGAGAACCGTATCCAGAGAACACTCGGGTGGGCACTACACCTCAGGAACACGCGCGAAAAATCCACAGAATTTCCTGGATATCGCGAGAGAAACGCGAGAACTACACGATCGAGAACTTTCTATATCGTAGCAAAGCACTCTTCCATCTTCCTTGAGTCGTCCCTTTTAACCAACTTGAGAGCGATTCTTAGCGAATCGGTACGTAACACTTTTGGGGATCCTTCACGGCCACTTGCCCAGGGCATCGGGCGACAGCTGGGTATCACTTCCTCAACTCGTAACAGGGGGTTCCTTCCTTGCCCTTAACCGTATCAAAAACTTGTGCATTAACGCAGAAACTCAGAATGGTCCATAGAAAAGGCTGGCACAGATCAAAGTGCGATAGGGCCACTTACAAAAAATCCCTTTACTTTTTTGAACTTGGTCTATTTTTGATATTTTAAATTCATTTGATATTTTCATTCAAAAATCATTTTATTTTAGAAGGTAGAATTGCTGAAGGAAAAGCGAAGTCAGGATACGAATAATATGGCAGAGATGGAATGGAAATTATGGTAGAGAAAATGGAGCATAGTCGAAAAGGGGTGTCATAGCTTAAGGGGGGTGGAGTAGGAGAATGATGGAGTTAGAATGGAGAAGAGTAAGAGAGAGACAAAACTCATTGGTACTCTGAGATATTCGCAGAGGGCAAAAGAATATCAATGGAAATATAGGTGTTACAAGATAATTTATTCGACAAATGCATTAATGATATAGTATACGATATTACTTTCACAAAAATTGAGAAGAGCCGCCAGCCGTATCGCATAATGAATCAGGCTTATCAAATATTTTGATAAGTCATGTAGGAATGAAGGAGAAAAAAGAAAAATACGTTTCCTCGTTTGTGACGTCACGCGATATATATAGCTAAACGAGCTGAAGAACAGCCTTAACGCTTCATAAAAATACTAGATGTAGGTAATGTTGCAATAAATAGTCTGATAAGATAACGGACACGTGTTATTAAGCTGTAAATTTATAGGATATGGATTTAGAATATAGGGAGTGTGGATGAGGTTTTTTTTTCAAATATCAAAGAAGAACTGGTATCAAAATATAACCATTTAATCATGATAACATTAATAGTTTGCAATGTAAAGTCCTAGGATACAGAATACCATAGGAGTATAGATACTAAACGTTATATTAATAGGTAATTTTTATCCCATCACAGATTTCGTGATACGTATTACCTTTTATTACATATCGTCCTTGTACCTTTGACGCCATTCAGGTAACTTTGTATAGCTGAGCTTATCAAGGCGTGTAGGCAAGTAGATGAATAAGTGAGCGAGTAATTAAGTAAATAAGTAATTGACGATCAATTGAGCGCTATAATATCAAAGAATTCTCGCTCAACTTCTGCGATTTTATTAACTGGCATTGAGAAAACAAAAAGGACAATATCGCATTCATCTCTCTGTAGAGATTCCTTAATACTTCAAAATAATTTCCTTAATTTTCAATATTCTCTCCCCCCCCTCTCTCTCTTCTGTCTCTCTCGTACATACATCGCCATGCATAAATTGCATCAAATTCACTATATTATTTATAAACAACAATGTATTGCTGTTCCTGGTCCGTATATCCTTGCTACAAATCTGTACCAAATATTTTGATATACATATAAAAGAACGAAAGATGCCCGCTTGCTTTCGATTCCGTTCCCATGGGAATAAGTTAATATCGCGTTGCTACCTTCTCTTTATATTCTTTATACTGTAGTTGCCAAAGGGATGACAAGTGGATGATATTTTGCAGCAACGACGACTGACATTTTTGCGGCTGTGACCGAATAGCTTGAGAGTTCTCCGTTAGAACCTCGCATGGACGGATATCACATTCCTCAAGCATGGATCGTCAACTCAAGGATGAGATACAAAATAAATTATATAAATATGTATAACGATTCGCATCGGATCATCTCGGTATAGAGGATTAACATAGTACTGCGTCGACGGGCCACGCGTAAAATTCGATGACTCCCTGTCACTCGCTCTTATTTGGAGGAGGTTCTAACGCCTTTGCTTAACTTCCAGCAGTTCAGGATAATTTTCAACAATATTTAATAAAATGCCGTCGATATAGGCTCGCAGTTGAGTGTTGACCTCTTGTTGTTCTTTCAGAGCCTGCCTCATCTGAAAAAAAATTTTAAAAATAACGTTTTTTCGTATTATACATTGCGAACAGTGACAGATTTTAATGCTGATGGAAAAATCAACAAATACATAAATACACAGAATGAATACACTGCTTGATAAACGAAGACTGGCGACCACTCAAGCTTCGAACGATCCATTTTTTACCAGCGATATTAGTCAGAAGCGATATGATTAGTCGCAATGCAGAATGCAAAGAACTTTGCAAAAGTACGATGCACAGATTCGAATGGAGATGCAGACGCATAATCGCTCTCGAGAGGAAATGAAAAATAAATTGAGTGAAACGGCAGGCAGACTCGAAACTACACGGGAGAACTTTACGATTCGTAATTACCTCGAAAATGGTGCAGGGTTCTCCGGGATCAGCTACTAACTGCCCGTCCCTCTGTATATATGGAACAAAGAAACAATGAAACGAATGATGTCCGAGTGCGACGTGTTGCAGTGAGAATGAACTATCGAAATTTATCAGGGTCACGGGCATAAAAAGAGAGAACTAAATAAGAATAGAGGCATATCGAAAAAGCTACGATGGAAGCCCGCCAACTGCGAAAACAACTATATTGTACCAAGTATTACCTGATCTTGATCCATTCCAGCTAGTAATTCTGCTGCGAGACTCGGTCCCCTTTCCACGTCATTGGCGCAAGGATTCATCATCAGGAGTTCACGACCCGCCTGCAGTGCTGCCGCAGCTTGCAATTCGTCTCGCGACTCTTCCAAGCCTGGAATATTATCATGAATGAGAAACAGACTTATACGGGTGTTGCTTGACGTTTCCGCATTTTGATATCTCACTTTTGTTTCGCGCACGAAGCTTCACCACCTGCTGTTCGAGTTCCTCGAGTCTCTGTTGATCTTCGGCTCTAGCCCCAAATTCTTCTTTGGCGACTTCCAGCAAACTGTGAGCCTCGTTAGCTCGGCACAACGCGAGCCTCTCCGCTTCTCGAGCTAATTCAGCTTCTCGCTTGGCCTCCTCCCTCTCGTTTTCCAGCCTGATTCTGTCTGATCTTGCGCGATCCATTTGTTCGCGCAATCTTCCAACTTCGTCTCGTAAACTGGAACTTTCCACTTCGACTGCTTGAAGTTTAATCGCATAATTTTCTAATTGTAGTTGTCGTTCTCGCTCCAGACGACTGGCCCATTCTCTATGTCTTCTCTGTTCTGCCTGTGGAACGCACGAGATTAAACGGTACAGCCAGAAAATAATGCAGAAGAACAGCATACTATTACTGTCTAATAATAATAATTATAATAATGACAATTACCTGCAGTCTTTCCTCTGCTCTTGTCTCCGCGTCCTTGGCCGCTTCTTCCAACATAAGTATCCTCGCCTGAAGAGTCGCATTCTCCTGCTTTGCCCTGGCATATCTTTCCTCACCAACGGACTGCGTATCGACCAAAACATGCATCTGCTCCTGAATCATTTGGACCTGCGGCAAAAATTAGGGCTCATGCAAACCTGTCCTGATATCATCGGCGAAACCAACATGATGAAACGTTATGTGAATCGCGAAACCAATAGCCCCAATATCCGCACTCCTCTTGGTTGGCCCTTACTTGTTGGTGCAGTTCTGAACACCAGCGTCTAGCCGGCCGTCCGCCAGGGGTTTGTCCAACAAACTGAAATTGACCCTCCCAGAGATCATACTCTAGGCCAGCCCCAGCGCCAGTCCCAGCGCCAGTCCCAGCTCCAGGAGCCTCAGGATTATTCGACCGAGAGTCAGAAAAGTCATTGTCACACGAAGAATCGTGAATTTCGTCCTTCTCGTTGCAATCTGACTCCATTATATGCCCGATAGTCAATAACCCTCCCGGCCCACTAGGCAGGCAACAACATTTTATAGATCCCGGAATTTCTGTAGCGTATCACAAAGTCGGCATTGAATTCCCGAGACTCCATCGTCCTAGGAATTGGCGGTGTCAGGGGAAACACTGCACGGAGACGCACGGGGACGCACGGGGAAGCGAGTAAATGTTCAAAATTCCCTGAAGATATTCCTTACGGCCGAATTCCTCGACGCGTTTAAAGAGGACTTTTTCGAAAGCACGACATACCAGAGACGTGGCGTAGTTCGCCTTTTTGTCCGCGGCTTTGAATCACCGATGTGTATGTATATTCGAGCCTAGATCGCACCGCAAAGTTGGGAGGAGAAGCAAAGGTCTATTTATGCTCTACTATACACTGTACCCAGTAGCTTGACGATCAGCCAGCCATTCGATCGGAGCCAAGTACGGAGAAGAGAGAGACACGTTAGGGATTTGCCATAGCTAATAATACACCGAAATAACGTATTAAGGCGCTTCTCATCAACTTGCAATTCTTTCTCTTTTCTAATTTATAAAATTCTAACATTTCTAATACGTAGAGCTAATCCAAACCGTAACGTGGCTATTCGATTGGATTCCTTATGTATTTCTTCTGCTGAATACAGCCACAAGGGACTATCCAGTGCGGGTTGTCCTGTCCTTCCATAGAGCGTAGCCCAGATAACTAATCTCTCCTATTAGGATTAGAAAACTAAGGAAGCCCCAGCCACCCCAGGAAAGGAAGCCAAGCGACTGTTCCCTCAAACATGCCATTACTCTAATTCGATAAATTCATAACTTTTTTCAATTCTTATTGACTTAAAACTCGGCGATAAAACTTTGAAATTTACATAGGGTTACGTGCTAACTTTTTTTTTTTTTCTTTAATGACCAACAGCTCATTTCCGTTCGTTTCTTATGTTTCGAGTTTCTGTTTTGTTCGTTTGGCTACGAGTCTACAAGCTCGTTAATTATTTTTTAAAAATGGCCAAGTCGGCAGAACTCAAACGGTTGCGCTTGAAACTCGGATTTTCATTTAAAAAAAAAGTCAGTGAAACGAACAAATCCATCTGGTAATGTCCAATTTCATGCGTATCGTCGAGGTTTTGTGAAATTATTCCTTACAACCGCCCACGTGTTCATACATCTGTATGCATATATGTATAGTGTATACGTATAAGTCATATCAGTCGTATCAATGGAGGCACACAGGCCACGGCATACTATGCACAGATCTGAGAGCGAAAGTCATTAATATTTGTACGGATAGTAAAGAGGTAGAGCCGAGAGCAACCAGCACCCGTGGAGTCTCTCCATTTTCCTCACACGGTGGTAACACTGGTGTCAATTCCTTGAACCTGCACAGGCAGCCAAAACACAATGGTCACAACTGTCCGAAAAGACATTTGCAGCAGCAGCATCAAAAAAGAAAGAGAAGAGTGGTCGTTGGAGGAATTTCAACGGCACAGACTCGTAGCTCCTGTAGCGGGTGGCTGTGCTCTCGCAACTGAACTTTGCTTGGTTGCTTTCTTTTTTTCTCCCGGCCTCGTGACCCAATGATTCGTGAACGTTATTTATAGAAACACACGATTTCGAGAGGACAACTCATAATCAGACTTCCTTATAGGAACGAATGACGTGTACCTGTCTTTGAGGAAACCATTCGACAATCTTACGATATTAGGCAAGAATTGTCCTCGTATTATTCGCTTATCGCGGAAAGCACCTCGCAGAGCATCGTTAAACATTTTCGGGTCTTTTTAATTTTCACAAATTTTCTATACAGATCCAGCTTATTCAACGAGAATGCAAGTTAGGGACACGGGATTCGAACAAATTTTTAATAACAATATTCTCTATATTAATAAAGGTTAATTGGCTAACGAGCGAAAATACGGAAATTCCAATCGGACCATCTCACACATGGTACACATCACAAGTCCATGAAGCTGAAAAAGATTGATATCGCACGAGACAAACTCAGCCGATTTAGCTAATTTAGCCGTTTTAGCCGATCCGGAAATACTATAGTATACTCGTACTATATACCGAAACATTAGATGTACGGACATGTGTATGGATGGATGGTCTGTCAATTGTTCCATTGAAAAATGAAATTTCCATAATATACAGAAGTGATGACGAAAGTGAAGAAACAAAGCGGCGTGTTATCCTTAGTACTTTTCTCGATCCTCGTTCCTCTCTCCTGCCTTTATTTAACTGAATATTAGCAACAGAACCAAATGACTCATCAATTGGCCTTTCCATATAACATTTACATATATTGCGATCAACTACTGTTCCCGATGATGCTCATAGTCGTACCGATGGAAACTCGCTTGTCTGATAATTCTTCACAGAACGCGTTCGAATTTTCGAAATTATTCTCTTCGCAACATTTTTTCGAGTACACGTGTGTACTATCCGTCTGTTCCCAAGGCTCAGCGACGTCGGCAATAGTGTAGTCAGTGCACCGTAGAAATTCTGCAGGGCAATTCTGAATCGCATCTCTCTTGCTTCTAACTTTGCTCATCGGTTTCTGCGATCAAGACAGATGGACTAGTAACTGGCAATTCATGCTTCCCTTCGCTTCTTTCCTTTCTTTCATCCGGTATAAAGATTACCTGCCCCTGGCGATGAGGCGTGTAACGCGACCTGCTGTTATTCCTCGGCGTGGCGGGTTGAGCAACGAAGAGCCGATAGTAATAGTAACTCGCCAGGCTCAACAGGAACAGGATAGCCAGAAGGATCGTCCACCAGGCCATCGAACGCCCTTTCTGCACGTTCGATTCGAACTGATAAAACCCATCTGGACATAGTGATGAGTATGGACCGCAATGATCGCACGGCGAACATCTATGGTGATAGGGAGTCGTGCAAATTGAACATGGAAGAGGATTCCGGGAATCTGGAGTTCGTCTGGATGATGCTGGTGAACGAGACGTCGATGGAAAATTATGAGTATTTGAACACATCGGCTAAGAGTTTTAACCATTCGAAGCCTCGCCGGCCAGCCTGATGTTTCGCGAAAAACTCTTTCGGAACTGAATACGCGATTAATTTGGTGAAGAAGATTTATAAAGATTTCTTATCAACGTTGCATTTTACAAATTCAACAGGTTACTGAGAAATTTTCTGTCAATACTGTTCAACGACTGACAGCATCATCCGACATTGCCAACTAATTTTATCTGGCAATCTTCCGTGCCAACTCGGATGTTCATTCATGGTTTCAGAGATGTATCTGTTGTTTCGCTCGTGTATTAGAATAAGAGTGGCACGCTATGCAGGCGAAAATGATCTTATCGACGCATTAGAATAACTAATTCTTTAGTTGATAGCGTCGTATTTTGCACAATTCTCATGATTAAAGGATTGAAATAATTCAATGCCTGTCTCATTTTCCGACACATCCGTTCGATCTATCGCTCCACGGCTGTTCCAATGATCGTGCAGTGAAATTCTCTCTATGGCCTTTCGATTATTATACCCCAATGTTTCTCGCAGTACACAGTACTAGTTTTAAAGTTAACTAAGAGACAAGAAAACTTAGCTCACCCTGTGATTGAGATCGAGAACGTCGTCTTCGAGAGAGACATCACTATACATATCGTCGGTGGTGTCGCACGTCGAACCTCTCCCGGAACTGTTGAAACTGCTACTACGGTAGAGCTGGCTAGATGACCAGTAGGAAATACAGAGAGAAAAAAAATAGTAATACAGCGAACGAATATTGGCAAAATTACGCATTGATTCTACCACATTTCGATTGTAAAAAAAAAAGGAATTCCGAATTCGAATTCCAAATAGTTGATAATAGGAAATATAATCTTACCTTGCTAAGGCATTAGAACTAAGCCTCTTTTTTCCGGTGCTGCAAAGAAATCATACGAGCATAAAATTAAACTGCTGTGCCATATTAGTCACGCATTTTTATATCGTTGTACTCTATGTGGATTAGTAAAGCGAGACTCAAGCTGTTTATTAATACAAATGATATTGACGCTTTGACGCCGACAGAGAATTATATATTGACAGAACTGAAAAATTAATGTATAAAAGTCGCGACAAGGTAGATGAAGAATCAGGTTATAGTTTTCCAAAGAAAATCTTACCATGGAGGTGTTCGCCTTAATGAACTTCTGAGCCAAGAATGTTTACCGAATGTAGAAGTCGGACTTCTGGCGTTACTGCATAAAGAGCAAACAAAAACAAAAAAGGAATTATAAAAAAATATCGTCTTTTTAGAGATCTGCAAGGTAGACTATTATGAAAAGTAGATCTTCTTAAAATTACCGTAGAGGATTTGGTCCTGTTGGAGATGGTGCGGAGCTACTGCCTCCTGGTGATTCTGTGTCCTCTTCACCATCACCATCAACCTGAACGTAGCCAAATCCTTCGTAACTTTCTTCCTCCTCGTTACCAACTTTAATGATATTATTATGCTCTTGTCCAAGTGTATCTGTATAAGATCCAGTCTCAGCAAGATTTGAGGTAACTGAACCATGTACATCCACAGACATGGAGAGCGAAGAAGGTCCACTCTGATTCCATTCTCCTGCCACCCTTCCTAGGTTTATACCATCATTTTGATTATCATCTCCGTTAGAAGTTAGATCACCATTTGCATCACTGGTGGTATTGATGTCCGGTACAACACTATTGTTAGATACAGCAGCAGATGTAGATACAGTTGTATGAGAGACTGTTACAGCTGGTGATCGGGAGCTTACCATCCTTTCTAGGGGTATGTGCTTATATGGATGTTGTTCGATTAGCCCAAAAGTCCTTTGATGGTGTAAGCTCTCTCTCTCTCTCTCTACCTAGAGATTATATATGATAACTAGAAAGCAAGAAGAATACCAGCCTACTGAGAGACAGAATGAATGATTCGATCAAAAAAAAAGTCAAGAATAGATGTATCCAGTAGCCGCTTCAAACCAGAATGACGTCTAAATATTATTTGCACAAATATATCGGCGTAACTCAAGTGTGCCACGATACGTACATATGTGAAAAGCCACAAGAAAAGATTTCGGTGATTTCAAAGATTCTCTGTGAGAACTGAATAATTAATTTTTCGTGATAAACAAGAGACGGCTGGAGAGTGGCCAAGGTCTGTCACTTTAAATAGTCGTAAAGACACGCAGGCAAGAATGCACTCGTTAAAAATCGAAAACGAGGCGAAGCCCGTCCCGCAGCAAATTCTTTAAATTCAAGTTTTAAAAAGATTACTTAGAAAAATATAAGAGTGTACGGTAGATGATGCTTGTCATACACTCGACAGCTGTCACACGCTCGGAATGCGATGTACTACTGTAGCCTGCTCGATTCGTAATGAAATAGTCTTCCGCTACTCGAGGCCCGTTGAATAAGTAAGATTTAATAATAAAAAAAGTACGGGAATCAGAGGAAAGAGAGAGCGTCATCATCACTTACCTAGTTGACCATCGGTAAATAATTCTTTGAGACTCGCAGTTGTCAAGAAGAATTTTATATTGTTCATGAATTTGCCTAAATGGGGCGTAGTTACGTAGAGTCACGGAGTGAAACTATCCCCTTACTATAGATTCTCAAGCAAAGCAATTGAAAAGAACCGTAGTGCAGCACCGAGACGATCTGTCAAAAGAACGACACCTGCGAGAACCACAGCAAAGACGGGGACAGGTAGGCGAGCGATGAAATTTCAGGCGAAAAGGATTTAAAAACTGAGATACTCTTAAACGCTCACAGACTCGAAAAAAAAAGTGTTCCCGTTCAATCGTTCGTAGAGAGTGAGTCCACGGCGTGGCGTCGAATCAAGGTAAATACAGCAAACTAAGCAAAAGGCGAGTTGGCCGCAAGAGCAACGCGAAAGCGAAGTAACGGCCACAAAAGAGTAACGTTAGGTACGCATGCGCGCTCTTCAAGGAAAGGTCCGACAAGGCATATCCATAGATACTTATGTGTAGGGGCATCGTCGCACACAGCACAAACCATACAGAACACGTTGGAAAGGAGCGCTGCAGAATGGCTGCAGGTACGAGCAAGGGACAGTGTCGCTCAAACGGCGTCGATTGCAGGCAAGATTGCCCGGAATCTTTGTAATTTCTGGATGTACGGTTTGATAAGACGGTTGCATCGGAATGCACACGTGCAGATGTTACATTTACACATATTATCGTTTATTTAACATTGAAAAAAGGTACAACTTGCTACACGATCTTACAATTGGAACGACGCAAGATTTCAATGTGAAATGCGCCCCTCCTATCATAATATAGTTACGGTAGTATACAGTAGTAAAATATGTACTTAAAATAAGCGATCATTAACACACCTTACGTATTCTCAAAAGAGAATAATTCACAGTTTGTAATCCGCATTCATTATTCAGAAGTCTTCTTTTCTCACGAGGTGGACGCAATATCCGAACTACTTTTCTTGTACACCTCCTTATAGACTAACTCTTGCATTTGCATCCTTAGGAGCATCCTTCTGTCAGCCGGTAATGTCTTTATGTGAGGTAAAAGGCTCATGAGGAAGTAGTAATTGTCGTCGAAGCGGCCTCCTTCCAGAGGGTCGACCGTCAGTCCTATGCTGGAGTCGCCATCGCCCATCAACACTTGCTCTGGCGATATGTTTTGTAGCATCATCTCGTTGTCCGTCAGATTCTCAGCTACGCTTTGGAACTCGAGGTTCTCGAAATTATCCTCAGGCTCTTGCTTTACATCTATTTGATGACTAATCGATTCTATTTTCAGAGCATTGTCACCATTCAGGGCGAGTATGTGCTCAGCCAGTGTATCGCTCTCCACGAGGGCCGAGGAAGCCGACAACGTCCTGCCAACATTGCCTTTCTGGTGACGCGGAGTGTCGCTTTCGCTTCCGCTTGCCCGATCGTTATCGTGAGCATTTCTTTCCCAGATAGGTGGACGGGGCAGCATTTGCTCCTTCAGGAATTGCAGACTTTTGAAATGTATCCATACTGGTCGATTTCTGTGAAACTTACTCTTACGATAAACTTGCTCTTTCTTCAGCTCAGCGCGAAACGTATCTCTCAGGCCTTTCCATTTTGCCTTTAGAACAGGTTCTGAAAATTAAAGGCAAAATGAACACTACAATAACTTACCCCCCAATTGTATGAATGAAAGAAAAGTGTTGTCGAGCAAAAGACGATAAGTTATCAAGAGGACTTTTCAATTTCAAGGAATCGTTGAAAAAACTGACGACCGAATGTAGTCATACAGAACGTACAAAGACTTTCACAGTATTCCGAAATTTACTGACAGTACTGTAAAAGTAATTACATCTCTCTTAGATGCGTGTGGATAAATGAGGACACAGCGTTGGTTACAGTACTGGCAGTACATTTCGGAACACACCCTTTATATCCGAGCCATACAACGTGCATACATATATCTATCAAGAACAGCATCACTATTTGATAAGTCTTAAAGCGTTCGAGATGTTTCCGTTCTCATAGATTCTTTCGCTTAACACCAACACACTTAAGCACGTATGCATCCATGTGAATGTATCTGCGCATGTGTGTACATACGGCTGTCGCATTCCTTTCTTAAAGTCAGCATATTCTGTCGCTTCAGTATCTATATGTATATCGGCATCGTATATACCCTACAATTGCCTATGTATATAAAAAAAAGAATAAGAATGTATTTCAAATTTAGTATCATTTCGTAAAACAGAAGAGGGCGCCACAGGAGGTCATGGTTATCAAGCATCGTATCGACGCTATTAAAACACATGTTTTTTGCTGGAAAAATCGTTAAACTTAACTTGAAAATTGAAAAAGATCAGTGACACGCCAACACCGTTCGCCGAAACTATCATTTAAGTACGATAATGGCCATTTGCGAGGGAAAATAAGATCAGGTAAATGGTGGTATGTTGAGGTTAGAAACGCAATATATTCGCATGCGAATACGATCATGAGACATCCACGGGTGACGTTTGTTAGCGCTAATATCGAGGACAATGCATATGTTTCTACCGTGTAGGGTTGAAATAGAGTTAACCAATTAAAAACGAGATTTGAGTGGAATAAGCTAACTTGATTGGTTAACTCTATTTCAACCCTGCATGGTGGAAACATATGCACTGTTATTCTAGCCGTGGCGTATGAAATTAATCATGGATAGTACGGTTGCTGTTCCTGCTATTATTTCTGCTGTTACTGTTGCTGCTGCTGCTAATGCGATGCATCACCGAATATTACTTCCCAAGGCAAAACATATAAAACATAGGACTATGGCAATATCTTGGGTTCAGCGAAAGGAAGGAGAGTACATAGCTAAACAATGCGCGATCTTTCGTGAGAAATCCCTTCGCTCACACTGGGTTGAGAGAATCCATAACGTGTTAAAGTTTTACATATTTTTTTTTGTATACTCGCAAGGTGAATTTCTTTCCTTCGCTTCGATAGCATTCCGTTGCGATGGAAAAATCAAAAGAAGGTATATATATTTGCTTGTGAAATGGCTCTATCGTAAACCGAACGTATTAACGCTGGCGGGTGGGTAAAGAAGCAGCTATGAAGAAGATAAATAGTTATAGGAGAACGAAGGGGAATGGCAGAGGAGAGAGACTGATGAATATTAAAGGTAGCGTATGGAGTGGTCGCCAGTATTCGCGCTCAACTAGTACCCCGACTAATACGCAGCGCTCGTATCGTGGTGAAGTAATGCCAACAAGCATGTCCTCGGCTAGCGACTCGTTGTCAGATTGATTCGTGTTCGTATACTACTAATGAAGGTTATTAGCGACGCACTAGGAAGCTTGAAAATAGCAGCAATCTCCATCCAGACGCGGTTGGTCACCTCGCGATTGTGATAAGAGATGTGTCTCTGGTTCCAGAGCGCTGGTCTCTTATAGACTTCTGCTATCAGGCGATTCGCGTCCATCTTCACCTCGTCCCTCATTGCTTTTCTTATTCACGCCGAGGAGAAATTATATCGGGACGTTTCCGGACTCTCGTGATTTCGTGTAACGTGCAAGCGACACGGGGACCGTCAACGAGCAACGCAAACCGATGGCAGCGAAGTACGGGCGAATACTAGCGCTGGGATAGCGATTAGCGCGCAGGACGCTCAGTGTAACGATCGATTCGCATTTTGCCCTCGGCTCGCTTCGCCTCGCTAGCGCTAGTGACCCTACTCTCATCTCTTATTCTCGGCTTTCCGTTCTTTCCTCCTTTACCCGCTGCACCTTTCATTTCTACGCCTAATCGTTGCCTTTGGCCCTATTCACTCTCGATAGCTTGTCTTTTAAATATTCCGGAATCCATGTTTTTGACAAATAATACTTGCGCAGTAAGATTTTCTCAATGTTATGATTTTTCTCATGCTTCGCACCAAAAAATTTCTAACCAGCGGCTTGCGCACCTCGTCCGCACGTTTGACGTGTCCTCGCTTCAATGGCATATTCCTCATATTTTTCATTACTCCGTTTCATTGATTTTCACGTTGTACTGCTTTATAGAGTTGAATTTCGACGAGGGAAATATGTATCTACATTAGGAAGGATACCATCGAAATCCGTTGGACACCGATATGGCTTTTCGAATAAGGCGATGTTTCGTTGTTTTATGAGAAATAATATGTGTGGTCCTTAAGTAGAATTATGAGATAGCAAAGGGGTGCGCTTTTGCCATTACATGTTAACTCACCTGTGTAACTCACCCTTCCAGTGAATCTCTCGAATGCGAACATCTGAAACAAATAAATCACATCCTACTGGTAAAAGAAAGCCAACAAAGATGCACGGGTTTGAACTGCTCGCGCAAGGAGCCGAGGCTCGTCTCTACAGAGGAACGTATCTAGGAAGATCGACTCTGGTAAAGGAGAGATTCCTTAAGAAATATAGACATCCTCATTTAGATGTGCAGCTAACCAAGGATCGAATAAAGAACGAAGCGCGTGCCATCGTACGCGCCAAAGCTGCAGGTAAATGGAATGTCTTGGAAGTTTCTAGACTCGTATAAATCATAAAACTTGCGTCATTTTTTTTTCTTTCTAAAGGAGTACCCACACCCACACTATATCTCATTGATTTTGACCGTCGCTGCATCTTCATGGAATATATAAAAAATTCAACGAGTCTCAAAGCGTTCATAGACGAAAATATTTCTGAGAAGCAGAACATCGGCCATTTGGTGAATCTCGTGGGTGAAGCTGTTGGCTTGTTGGTAGCGAAATTGCATTCCAAAAATATTATTCACGGTGACTTAACCACGTCGAATATTCTTACGAAAAATGCATCTACAAATGTAAACGTTGGTAAGATGATACGATCAATAACAAATTCGTAATACGTTCAAAATCTGTAATTAATCTTGTTTGTAATCCAAATTCGTAATTACTTCTATTAGTTGATCTTCTGCTGATAGACTTTGGCTTGGCACGAACAGAATCTACTGTCGAAGATAAAGCTGTCGATCTGTATGTGTTGGAGCGGTCTTTGTTGAGTGCACACTCCGAAGTTTCAGGATTGTTTTCAGTGATTTTATCGACGTATCGAAAATATTGCAAGCAGAAGGACAAGCAAGAAGTTATTAACAAGTATAAGGAAGTGCAAGCGCGTGGACGGAAGCGCCTCATGATCGGATGAATGGTCTTAAAATATGTTCTGTAAGAAATTCGAAAGATCGTGTATTCCGCACTCGAAAATTTTACATTCGATAGCAATTGTTACCTTATATGTTCAATGGTCACATTTCGAATAAATTCTTTAAAACATTGAACATTCTTAATATATTCCTCTGAGGTACATTAAATTTTGTTGAATGAAAAGATACAGAATATTTTGTACGAGTCAATAGACATTTGGCAGAGTTAACTTGCCTATAGATGGTCTTACACAGATGTCTCAAAGACATTTCCCATTATGCTTTATACAATTATAAATTTGACTGCAGTAAATACCATTGCAGAAATAACTGATATTCCGATTGGCTCATCGCAAGAAAAAGACAAATGTATTATTGCTAGTTCCTCTGACAGTCTGCACTATGCAACAGTTCTTCTCGTTGTCTATATTCAATCAAAGTGCAATCCTGAATATATTATTATCCAAGTTACCTGTGACAGTAATATTTGAATTAAATTTTTAATGCAAAAAATGTATTATTCAACTGGCGAATAATATTGCAAATTGTTTCTCACCAAAAAACCAGCAAATGAGGTCATAAAACCTTCTTTTGTGAGCTCCCATGCACCGCCATATTCCTCCTCATCAACTTGCTGAAAATTGCTGAAGTACACATAAGTAGTTCCTGCATTGACTAAAACAAATCTGAAAGACGTCGTTTTTTTTTGTAATCGTATTCACAGTAATTAAAAATACGAGAACACTTTCAGTTAATTAAACTTACAACAATAAGGCAACAAAGCCTTTGAGTGGTATAAGTCCCCAGACAATACCAACAACTATTCCAATGGCTTGCCGTGCCCAGTATATCACGTCAAGAAATTCCTCCTGAATGTATTAACAATATCCGCGTATTAATAACTTCTTTAAAAATTAATCAGAACAGATTCATCCTATACGAGTAGGTAGGTTATATTTACCTTGTCAGGCCATTCGGAATTAGCTGTAATTGCGCGACACCAAACGCTCAATTCGCATTTTCCTGCGCTACCATTTTTTTCCACTTTCTGCCGAGACATTTCCGTTTAGGATTATAGAATTAGATTTTGAGTTCGCATAAGCTTTCTCATGAGAAAATTGACATAATTTGTCCGAGTACAATGACTGTGAACATGTACTGGACAATTCTGAATTGTTAGATACGTGTGAAGTTGGCAGGAGTTACCTCATAAAGTAGGCAAGTAACGCACTCTAGTGCATACGGGATGCAGTGTGTCTCGTTCATGCACGATGTCAGGATGAATGTCATTGGGCAGGCGCGCTACCCGGGATGGTTTGGATAGCGGGTTACTTATCCGTATTCAAATTTTATTCGATTGACTAGATATATATAAATTAGCAGCTATTATAACTGTCTGCAATATTATTTTAAATTCTTCGTATCTACTCTAATTCTTCGTATCGATACAGTGCACGTTTTCTTCATATGTAATGGAGAAATATATCTCGAGTATAGGCGTGCCGATGAGTCTTTCGACAATTTCGATGGTGAGAGGTTGGGCTGAATGAAAGAATGTAAGAATAGAAGGAAAGAAAAACAATTTACCGGAGTAATCAGTTTAATAATTGAGTCTTTACTCATTAACTGATAGATTATATTCGCGGAGTTACTAAGGGTCAGTGTGTAATATCTTTAAGGAGGAGGCCGTAAATACAGGAATGTACTGGAGCGAATTGAAATATATAAATATACAATACACACACGCACGCACACGCACACGCGCGTAGGCGCGCGCGCACGTATTCGCATACCTAAGTATAACTATATACATCTATAATTGTCACAGGCGATTATCTCGAGATGATATAAAGGGCACAAACGCTTGTCCTTTATCAAAAATCTGTGTAATCGCAAAAGGCTCGCGTCTCATAATGTATGTCCGCTCAAAATACAATTAGAGGCGATAAAAATACAAGATAATATTCCGGGAGCATGCCCCAAGTACGCGTATTATTCTAATAAATTACAAGAAGATTATAATATCCGTATAAGGTTGCGGCTAAATATAAATATCGACCTGACGCCCTTTATTCCGCACGTGCAAGAAACTTTAGTTAAATTAATCTCTAGACTCAGAGACAAGTGCATGTAATAGCGCGAAATGATCTTTTATGCGCTTGGCCGAAGCGAAGCTTTGGGTTCTACATATGTACGTGTCTCTTGTTTCGTCTCCTCTCGAATTTCGCACGGAGCTCGTATCTCTCATTACATTTTTTCCTTCTTTCCCTGAGTTTATGAATATGAGAATAGTACATAGAAGAATTCGAAAACTCGCAGCCATTCCTCCCAAATAAAGTAACGTTATACGTGTGTACGTCTTACGGAAATTTCGAAATTTCCCCTATCTCACAATTTTGGCACAAGAATGATATTTTAACGGCCAGAATTCTACTTGCTCGCGTCAATGGATTCGATGGACCAAATTAAGAAATAGCTGCCTCGATAGTCGCGACGCGTTGACGTAGATTTTAGAATAGCCATAGCCATTCGTTTGATCATCGCTTAAGAGACAATCACCTGTGGAGCGAAAAACGTTAAAACGCTTTACGCTCGTACAACTAATATCTATGTGGATTCGTTATATGTATATCATATCACTTCTCGACGTTTCCTCCGCTTCGCTCTTCTTACTTTTAATGTCTAACCTATCGGCCTTAATCATGATTAGCTATACCCTTTATCATACTGACTCGGTCGAACTTGCGAAAGTTTCTTAGATTTACACAACTGTCGCTTAACTAATATATAGTTTGTAATTTCATTTTTATACTTTTTATGTTTTACATGTTCAGCCATTTGCAGGGAGCGCGAGGTATCTCGGGAGACGCAACGATTCTCCGATCGGTCGTACGAAAATGAAAAGCATAGAATAAAGAAATACAAGTATCGCGCGAATCTCGATAATCCTAGAATGTTTTCGAGTAGGAGAATCGAAAAAAAGAAAAGACGCATTCGCACGCCTATTGCACAACTTTCCGTAATCCGAGCTGGTTAGCTGGTGTGCTGCTGTAGTTTAGCATTTCTGGGCGAGTACGAGGAACGCGTGAAGAGGTGTTCTCATTAATAAGGTGATATCGTAATGAGAAAACTATCGGAGGAGTTGTTGCGAGGCGGCGGCAACGCCTTCCGAAATGTTAAAAACGTACAATTTGAATAATGACTGACAGATAGCACTATACATAAAATTATGATTATAGCAGTCGAAGGGTCGAACCCTGTCGTATCGAATATAAGAATATAAGAATAAAAGGATAAAAGGCTCGCGAGACGAGTTTTTAACCCAAATATCCATTTCCGATGTGTGCGTTATTTTACTTTTCTAATCATATATTATGTATATGAATATACAATACTATCAAAAGACTAACGGAATACAAACAGCACCGGGGTCACACGGCATTCTCGAATAATTCGAGGTTTTCTTTCCTTTTCTTGTTTTCTTCTCATCTTGGACTGGATTAGATTATCGAATACATGAACTGTCCCGTAGCTACCAAAAGAGAGTATGCGTGCTGATAATTGATTAGAGTTTCAGGAGAGTTGGCAAAAGAAAAAAATTACTGAATAAACAGAAAGTGGGAGAGTGAGAGAAAGACGAAAAAAAGGAAAGAAATGCACGATGGAAGTGGCCGTTCACGTAACAAGTTCTGGATAAAAGATGTTAAGACGGCAGTTTCGCGTCGGATCGGCAGAATATTTAACATTCGTTGGTTAGTTTAGCGTTAGTAGGAAAGAATTATATTCGAGGTTTATCCTTGCTCTTGTAGATTATGTAACTCCGCCTCGAAGGCCTTTGCAAGATCGCACCGATTAATTATTCACAGATCACTAATATGACACGTAACCACCTCCTCATTCTCGTTCTCGTTCTCCTTTTGTCTTTATTCTCCGTATGCGGAAGACTCCAATTGTGTTCTTCTTACGGTGGTGAGTGTAATGCGATTTCAGTTAATCATACGCAATAGGCACTTATTACGTTAAGATCTATCGCACTCGATCTAACAGACAAAAAAACCTGAAAGTCTTTTTGCTTTTTCAACTCTATTGCGCCTTTGCAGTATGTCCTTCTCTTTTCTTTTATTTCTCTCTCTCTCTCTCTCTCTCTCTCTCTCTCTCGTCTCGTCCGCTCTACCCTAGTAGACAGTCTCACACCGAAAATGTAAAGACGCACAAGGTGTATTAAATATCCAAAGATTAGAACGCATCGTAAATCAACAAACCAGTTCATTAGCTATTGGCAACCCCATTTTCGAATGTATTAACAAAGTCTTTTGCACGTTTTCCACTTCCAAGCAAGACACCCGACGTAATTGAAATAATACGCATAAATGACATCAATAGTGTCTTGATGGACACGCTAAAACGATTTACAGTTGGCATCGTCTAGCTTAATAAGTGATTCATAATTCTTGCTGACCCTGCAATACCCTGACCCCCCCCCCCTAATATCAACTCACGCATTAATATAGCACACTCGCGCTCGCGCACCGCTTCTTCTCTTCTATGAGCTTTTCCTCTCTGACGTCAAGCTAAACCAGCCATCTCTTATGGCACCTCGAATGCAACAATGGAATGTGGCTTCTTGTCTTGCCGCTTATTAAAAAAATTCTTCGCTGTAGATTAGTATAAAAATTTACGTGTACGGCAGTTCTTTCCTATACTATATTCTATATTAGATAGACTGTGTAAATGGGCGCATATAATACATATCCGTCTGCATCCCAGGAAGTTACTACTCGCCGACGGAATTCAGCGAATACTTAATTAACGCATTCGTGTCCTACATTCTGCACAGTAACGGTGCGATCGCTACACGTCAACCACGTCGTTATCATAATTGAAGTTCGAATCTCGTAAGAAAGATGTACGTCTGTGTTTAACGCTCGAACGATTTTCTTCAGCCATTGTCGCCGCTTCCGTTACCTGTTGAAATAATCACCATTACTTTTTTTTTTTTTTTTTAAATACAAACTATTGAATTTTGAATATCAAGCATTACACAAATATTATTAATATCCAATAGCACCTATTCTGTCACCGTATGATTAGGAGAGATCACGTTAAACGCACATAGAACAGTCCAAATTGTTACTCTATGTTAATACATTTCACAATGAGCGAAGATCCGGTGTCTTCGAGGGACGGTTTACGAAAGATGCTTCGTGAAAAAGCAACTGAAATTTGGTCTAAATTATTATTGAAAATATTATTATATTAATCCCTGCCAAACTTATAAAACTACCTGGGAGGTCATTATTTTTGTGCGATACCAAAGCAGGTGGTGTGTGGTGTTAGTAACACGAAATGAAGCATGTCAGAATGAAAAATAAAATGGTAATTCTCGACAGCATTCGAGGGAATTTGAGGGAATTTGAGGAGAAAAATGTAAATTATAATGAAATGAAACAAAAAATCGTAAAAAATACCTTTGTCGTTGGTCGGTCGACAGACCGATGAAGTACCGACCTCCATGCTGCGGGTGCGGTGTGCTCTAAAATGATATATACAGCAAGACTGATAAATTTAAAGCATCGCGACATGCATAGCCGCGTCGTCACGAGTTATAAAATACGGAGAGGAAGCGTGTGGCTTAGCGGCGTGCAATGCCTAAATCCTACATGCAGCTTAAACATATATTTCCCTCAAACGTTTACTTACCGTTTTCCTTCCTATCGGCCTTTCCTTTGCTCAAGCTTGCAGCTAGTTCTCTGACCGATCTTTTCTCGACACTAGTATTGCTCAGTGAACTTGCAGTACTGCTCGCTGATAATGTCGGTGGTAACGAAGCTGGCCCACTTACTCCGCTGTCGGTAGACTCGTCCAGGGCATCTCCGGAGTCAGGTGTGTTGCCAGCCGAAGTGTTTGGACTCGACCCGTCGCTCAGTAAATTGAATTCCCCTGGAATTAAGTACCACAATAACAACAGCCAAGTCTCCGTGTCGGGCCAGACTGCAATAATGTATATACGTTGATGAATTCGGAAGACCAACCGGATTTTCTATCTGTGGCCATGCTCCATGGTCGTGGCTTGGGCGCCGTGGCCGGCGGAATAGGTTTGCTCTTCGATGGAGTGCTGCTACTCTTTCCATGTTCGTTGCTGGGGTTGTCGCCTGCCTTGACCAAGGACTTAAGGACCGGAGACTTGGACGTATCGGAACAAGAGCTCTTCGGCCCTCCACCGTTCGTAGGACTTCGAAGATCAAAGCCAGTCGATCGTAGCTTCACCGATGGAATTGCTTGTAATGCTGATTTTTCACTCTCACTTGAATTCTTCTTTGCTAGGATCTTCTTAGGATCCGTGTCCCTAACTGTCGGGGAGAGTTTATCATTGTCCTTCGAGGAGCAGGCGAGTTTTCCGCTCTCGTCCCCGGAAGAGTCCCTCAGTATACGAGATGCGAGAGATGCACTAACAATTGGCAGTGTGCTTCGCTTGGACTTGTCCGCGGAATTGTCCTTGACCCCCTTTAATTCCTTGGTGGTCTCGTACTTGGTCGTTTTCTCGGCGTGGCTCTGAGCGCTTTCGGTTGTGTTCCGTCGTGCTAGAGGCGATGCGGTCAATGGAGAATCACCCTGGGAACGCCGACCAATCAAAGGTGAAAACTTTTCCAAGTTGTCACTTGATCTTGATCTCGGCGCCGGCTCAAGAAGTGTTTTCAACATGGGTAAATTGCATCCGTGTTTCTTGTCAGATTCCGGTGCAACGCTCTTGTGGCTTACGAGCGAGAGATTTGGACTTCCGTCCGTGGGAAACGTGTGAAGGGAGCTGTAAAGCCCGGAGAGGATTGACCTTAGTGTAACCGTTCAATTTTACAAAGTTAAGGCGAATTAGAAATTATTTGAATACCTGTCGTCACTGGTTGGGGATATCAATGGGGTCGTCGGGGTCGTTGGTCTGAAGAATACGTCGAGACCTTCGCCAAGAGCCAAGCCATCGACTGGCTGATCCGGTTTCAACATTGGTCGTGTTGGCGCTCTTGTCTTGGCACGGCGAGGTCGGGACTTCACGAGGTGCTGGAGTTGCTGGCCAACCGTGTTCGGCAATTCTGATACCGAGTCTAAGGACTCTGTCAGAGAATGCTCATTCTCGGAGATGGCTAGAATCAAATTAAAGACCTCTCTCGTACCTGACAGTTTCTTTCATTCAATCCATTTAGCAAGGACAAATGTGAAAGTTGTACCTTCTGCCTGACTCTTGGGCAGCGACGGCAACAAGTCCGGAATATCATCGGCCGAAAGACCCTCGACGGAATCCACCACAGATTTCGGTCGCAATTTTCGTCCGTGCAAACTCTTGCGTTTGTTTGACAGATGCGGGGTGGCCTATATTCGGACGGATCATCAAAATTACTTATGTTGCTTCGATACATGTAATTCGTTGGACACGATGAGTATAGTTATATTTATCAATCGTCGTGCGTACTTACAAGGTTCAAATATTCCAATTTCTAATGGGACACGCGTGCGGGACAATACATATTAAAAAGTATCATGGCGCGAATAATGATTTCTCAATAAATCTGAGAAATAAATATTAATAAATCCAGCTGCTAGGCAGACCGTCGGACCGTCCGGAACTTGTTAGAATTGCTATGGTATAAGTAGCGACCGAAGCGACGACCTGACTGATATGCGTCTCAACTGGATAGCCAGCTTAATAGGCTTTGCACTCACCATAGGCGATTGATCACCGGAATGCTGTCCTATCGTATTTTCTAGCAAGAAATTCTCGGAAGGACCGTCCTCTTCAGATACAAGACTAGTGCGACCACTCGCTAATTTAATAGAAACTCCAGCAGCGGTACTCACGCCGATAACACTGCCACTGCTCATGGAGCCTGCGCTGGGTCTCAGAACATCCGGAGTACTACATCTAGTTCTACTGTCGCAGTCCCCAATCTGTAAGTAAGAGTGCAATCGGTAGCGGAATAGTGAGCTTAGACAGTTACCCCTCCTCGACACCATCACATTCGAGGGAACACTCGGACGACTCGGACTCACCAGAGTTTTGTAGCTTCGAGACAAAGATTCGATAACTTCGTCAGTGACTCGGTCGGAAACGTGGGCAGCGACAGCCAAGTTGAGTTCGCTGTTACACAGAATTATTGACGTCACAAATCATAATAAAATTCATTAACCAAAAGACGATACAAGAGAATCAGAAGGAATAAATTCATTTTAAATACATGAAAGAAAGCAGTCTACGTTCGACGTCGACGTTGTAGAATCTAATCTCGGATACCTAAAAAGTTTATCGGCACAAGAGATAAGAGATAATCGGAAATGCGTCCTAAGATAATCCGAGAGAGTTGCCTATTGATATTACCCTATTATTCCAATATCGTATCATCTTGCTTTCATGCTATCGCGTAGTATTGGCTGTCACAAGTATAAATGCCAACTTACTTGACTCTGTTAACAATATCGGCGCCGGCCTGTTCGGTAATCGTTGCGTGGATGAATTCCGTGTTGATCTGATTCTTTTCCTTGCAGGAGCTGCGGAGGTCGTATTCGACGGAAATTGGTTCACTTTCGTCCCCACGGATGACTGTCTGCGACAACACAGTAGGACACTGTTCGCTCGCGCATTTCAGCATAGCGTCCAGAGAATCCTAAGGGGAACGAAATCCTTATATCAATCCTGATGCTGCACTACCTAGAATCGTACGATATTCACCTGTAAGTAGGACGTAACTACTCTGTGAATTTCGTCGGCCACGTCCCTCAGTCTGACTTCAACGGGGTTATTCTCATCTCGTCGTTGGAGTACCTCGTGCAATCTCGGTAGAAGCTGCAGCGCCATTTATACTCGTAGTGAAAGGTTTACTTCTGAATCGTTACGATGGTCTTGTAAAAATTGCACAAACCTGCTTAGAGTTATCGGCATCCTGTATAAGTCCCGTCGCATAATTAATATCATTATTGGCATCACAACTCTCGGCGGCTAAAGCCTTTATAGTATCTTGCGTCTGCACAACCAGTCTGTCTACCATCTGTTGCGTAGAACTCAATAAGAAACCCTGCTGCAATCTGAAAGCTTGACCGTGGCTATATTTGCAGGGAGTAACGTTCCTCTGAAGAAGGTCCTGAATCTTCTTCACGAGCTGTTCAGTCTTTTCGGCGGAGGTTTTCATACAAGGTTGAAGGTCGAAGATGGGGAAGGGCATGTGCCTAACGCTGTAATTGCTGTTGGAAGAAAATGGCCAGTTAGTGGTGCGCGTACTCATGAGTCGCTACTCATACGAATAGCTTTCTACCTTTCCCTTAGGGGAGACGATAAACATACTTTTCTAGAGCATGAACGATATCCGCGTAACCCTGTAGCGTTATGTTGTTCCTGTCATAAATAATGGTTCTCAGGTGATTATTAATTTGCAAAGCTTTAGCCAGTAAACGCGCTCCAGGATCTCCGATTTGATTTCCGCTGATGTCCAAAGTGTGGAGACAGGTATTGCTTCCGAGAGCGTTGATTAGATTGTAGAGATCGGCCTTGAGTCTGGCGTCGGGTAAATGGAGAGCTTGTAAAACACAATCGTCCTCCTGGACCATGCTCACCAGAGCATCCATCACGACGGCGATGTGCTTGCTCTTCATGCCTATGGTATTCCGGCCCATGTACAACTGCTTGATGGATTTATTTTTTCCAACGGCCGTGATCACCTGAGCCAGCTCGACGTCCATATCTAGGAAGCGAGGGGTTACAAAAAAAAAAAGTGGAAAACGATTACTACGCGTCTAGACAGGTGTGCACGTGTCGTTCTAACTTCAAGACGCACTTACTGCTCTCCGAAATGTCGAGGGAAGCGATGCACCGAACGCCATGGATACAAGATTCCAAAACGTGAGCACCCATTGAGCCTAGATTATTTCCGCTCATGTCCAACTCCAGGCCCACAGTACTCTCGTTGCAAGCCAAACCAAGCAAAAGGTGTTTCAGGGCTTCAAGAGGAAGCTTACAGAACGAGATATTCAAGTACTTAAGAGAAAGAGTCGCCGTGAAGAATTGCTTAAAACTCGGTGGTATTTCTTTGGTCTTTTTACTGGTGAATGAATTACGAGCGACGTTCAGATGGACTAGATTGGTAGCGCAGCCACGCAGTAGAGCACCGAACAACTGAACATTGTAATAAACGGGCAAGTGATAAATGCGAGTGCAGATGCAGCTCGAACAATAGGATTAGGCAAAAGATGAGTAGGCGCTTACGCATTCCAATGTCGTATCCGTGCCACTGAGATCCAAGTGGGTCAGGCTGTTTGGTTGTGCGAGAAAGTTGCACAAGTTCTGCAAATCGAATGTTTGTAGACTTTTAAATGATGCTGGAGTCTTTAGGATCCGGCTTGAACGAGAAGACTTACGTTTATGTCGTCCTTTAATGTGTTCCCTGAGAGATTTAAATATTGCAGACTAGTTGGCATGCTTCTGTTCAGACTCAAAGTGTGCGCTATTTGGCCAACGCCCTTTCCGGTTAATCCGCAATGTGCTAGATTTAGTCTCTGCAAACCCTTTGGTAGCTTTCCAATCGGACAGCTCAAGTGTGTCGCCCCTTAGAACACATATTCACTCTCTCAGCCTAAGGAATATCATCTCTGGACTTAAATTCTAAAATAGCAGTAACTTTCTATTCTGGTTTACGCTTCCGATAGGAATGGGATCGACATTCGGCAGTGAGTTGCGAAGATGCACTTGCCAGCTTTAAGATTTTTGAATCGATAAGTGTGAGTTTGCCACGCGTACTGATCCCACTCCTAACTGTCAAAGCCGCGCAGATAGAAGGATACGATGAGGTTCTGAGGAGGAATGGTACAGGTGGTGCGACGTCCAAAGCGAGAGGCGAGAGGCGAGAGGCGAGAGGCGATGCTGGATATCATTAAACGAAAGTAATGAGATTTAATGCCTGATGGCACGCAAGGATGCTGCCTATTATAGATCATGTTTCGGTTAGTAAGAGTAGTTTGTTCATTGCACACCTTGCATTAACTTGGCTATTATCCCGCACAAGCTAGAGGCTCCTACAAAAACATAAAGATATCTTATACTAGGAAGTTAAGAAATTCTATGGTCAGTGGGAGAGAGAGTTGCACGTAGAAAAATAAAAGTCAACCGCGAGTTTCAATTGAAAACAAAATCGCGATCTATTTTCTCTGCGCTTCTCCCTCCGACAGGACACACGGGTCTCTCACCTTTGTCCTCTATAGTGTTGCTTGAGAGGTCAATCGTGTGCAGTATCGTATTGGCATTAGAAATTAAAGCTAAGGAAAGTTTGTGTGCGAAATCCCTGTAAGTGAAACGGAAAGGATTAGAACATTTTGTCTGGCAAAATTCTCACCGACAAAGTCGCTATCGCATTTACCATTTGATGCCGAGATTGTCTAGATAAATTTCTTGTATCGAGAGAGATCTTCGCATTACGTGCAAAAGTCTCTCTAGTGGCTCGTGACTTAATTTAAGATGCGAGGCTCTCAGTTTCGTGAACCACGTGTTATACTCCAAAGCCGAAATTATCGGAACCAAATCTTTCTGCTCCAAATGATCGAAATCCCTCAGATTGAGTTCTCGCGTGTCGTGGGACAAATATATCGTATCCACGTCCTAAAAAAGATTCAATTGGAATATCGGAGAGAATATTCTCGATGGAGACAGTCCTCATTTCCTTACCCAAGCAACCTCCTCCCTGTACGGAACGCCGTGCAAGTCACACATGCACGCGTACTGCGTTGAAAACCCTCCGCAGGGACCGGTATGTCTGGTGGCCTCTGTACTCCTGGCCAATTCGCTGCCACGGATACTTTGTAATCTACTAGCCGGTATTACATCTATCTTTCTTATAATGTAACTGAAACGAAAAGAATTGGTCAATGTCCTGCAGAGCCATTTTTTCTATTTCGACTCGAACGAACGTGCATACTTGAGTGGTACTGTGGGAAAGATGTTCCGGATCGCAGTGTGCAGTGCCTCGATCATAGCGTCGACCTCGGCGGTGTCGGCTCCTGCGCCAGTCGTAGTGAAGCTGAAAATTCGTTCTCCAACTATGAGACATAGCTGGTTAGCTCGCTTCGATTCTATCGATGTTATTTCCAAATAGTGAAAGTGGCAGTCGATCTGAAAAAGAATAAAGTCACATCCAGCACCGGCAGCGCGCGTATTCAACGTAACAGAAGGGACTTACTCTTGTTGGCACTTTGGCAGTCAGAAGGAAGAGACGACACGGCGAGAATACCTAGAAAAGTAAGTTCAGTCAAAAATCAGTGTTGGAATTAACCCCATGCGTAGTAGTAACCTCGCTCATTTTTTCAAAATCTGACGATGAATATTATTAGAGACTCATTCAGCGTTCTGCGTTACACTTGCATCAATGCGTGTATGCGTGTATGCGTATAAGAGACAATGAATTTGAACAACTCACCAGTACCCGATTATCCTGTTTGTCCTGCTTGGTCTCTAGCTTGACGACATTTTTTAGTAAAATTTTCACGTGTTTTCCCAAGAGAGCCTTCACTGATTCTGTATGAAGAACAAGAGCAATTGTGTCAAATGAAGGATTTTCGAAAGTACAAATACAATAAAGTATGTGCTGTACATTGAATTTGCATTTGGCCTGAAGCAAACACGATGTTCTTCCTAGTGCGTTGCGAATAATATTCAAGAGTTCAAAAGCAGAACTTCTACGAAAGAACTGAGATGCACAGAGCTCGATTGCAGACTACAGACAGCTTCGAACGTAAACACCCTGTGGAACTTACCATTCAAATCCTTGGTGAGCTGCGACCTAGTTGACATTTTGTCGCCGTTTTATCTTTCTCGGATAGCTCGTGTTCGTCGCCTCACGCCATCCTTCTCAATATAAATTAGTTTCTTTCACACTGCACCTTCGGGAAAACGTCAAGAAGCTGGGCGATGTCGCGAGTATATGAGCCAGAACGATCGCCATGTTGAATCCAGTTCAACCCAGTCATACCTGTCTGTCGACTGCAGTCCGATTCGTCACGTTCCTTCACATCAGGGCATCGTGGCTGGTGGTCCGGCACTGTGCTGTTTCTAAGTCAAGGTGGTCAGAGTCCAAAGTTATTCTTATAGAAGCATACAGTACACTTCTACTTGCCTGCATATACATATCATTCTGCACTTCGACTAATTATTTACTTACGTAATTATTTCCAACAATAACGCGCATATGTATGAAAATCATTATGTGAGTAGTCGAATTACTATATTTCTTTTTCAAATCATCAGAGTTCGATTGTAGCGACTATCGAAACTTGTATTTTTGGAGCATCCTTGAATATATTAGGCTCACAAAGTTCAAAGAATAACAATCAACCTTACTTAATGATAAGGGGCTACTGAGCTACAGAATTTCAGAGTTTCAGAATATACATATAGAAATAGTATATTTCTCTCTCAATATATATTATATTTTTTGCTAGAGGATACTTTGGGGAGGATTTCATTTACGAAGTCGCTATTTTGAGGACAAGTGGCCGTTTTGGGGACCATCCTCAAAGATTTTCCAGCGTAATGACTGTTTTGAAGATCATAAAGCAGACTGTCTCATCAAATTTTTTTATATTTTTTCAATGTTAGGCATCTAATATTTGTGATGGGCTTAAAAATGTTTCATTAGGTTAGATTAGGTCAGAACTTCAGTGCTGGGATGTCCCCAGGTAGTAGTTTTTTTTAACATTAGCTTGCTATTGTGAACACCCCTTGATTTTTCGCGTCCCCAAAGTATCTCTTTGGCAAACGCATATATACATATATGTATACATATATAGAAATTCTGTAGCTGATATATATGTATGTACATATTAATTTACTCGTTTCTTCCTGATACATTAAAAACGCAATATTTCTTCTTTCAGAAGCTGCATTAAAATCCGATACAATGATGATCCACGCGTATCGATCATGCTTCAGGAATCTGAGGATATCTCTTGCTAGAAATTATGCATCGAGTTCTAAATTAGTGGACGTCAGTCGCGATGACAAAACAGGTCGTGTATCCATGATATATGCCAGTGCGCAATTATAGTTGCAAATATAGTTGCAAAAATCAGAGGGAGATTTTTCATTATAAAAACTTCACGTTCACAGGCGTCAGTATCATATCAATGTCAAGAGCACCAGTGAACGGATTGAATAGGGAACTGCTTGTAGAATTGGAAAGATCCCTAAAGGAAGCACAAGATGAGCGCCGAAGGGGGGTAGTGCTTACGTCCTCGTTGTCAAATGTATTCTCAGGAGGTCTTGACATAATGGAGATGTTTAAGAAGGATGCTGAAAGCATGAGCAAGTTTTGGAGTGCGCTACAGGACTTGTATCTCACTCTTTATGGTTTGAGTGTACCAATCGCTGCCGCCATTAATGTAATGTTCTATTTAGTCAAATATCTTCATCGCCAGAAACTTTTGTTAAAACAAATGTCTTTCGTATTGATAGGGTTCCAGTCCAGCGGGTGGCTGCTTTTTAGCAATGTGCTGCGAATACAGAGTCTTTGTTGACGGGAAGCATACTATTGGTTTGAACGAAACAAATCTAGGAATCGTAGCTCCAAAATGGTTTCAGAATGTCATGATCGCTACTATTGGACATCGTAACGCGGAACTGGCGCTTTTGCGGTAATACTCAAAATCTTTACATATATTTTTGTGAGATTGAATTATTTGATATTTCAGTGGAACACTGTTCTCGCCCCAAGAAGCACTGAGAATTGGCTTGGTGGATGAATTAGCAACTGACAAGGCAGATGCGATAAGCAAATGTGAAAATTACATTGCCTCCTTCGCCAGGATTCCAGGTAAAGCCTTGAAATGCCGACACCTGTGACAATTACTAAAGAATAACCACGTTGAAAACTTTGTGAAATAGGAACAGGGAGGTATTTGACGAAACTGGGAGTACGACAAGAACTAATACAGTGGATGCACGATAATCGAGAAGTGGATGTTAACAGCTTTGTGACATTTGCGCAGACACCCGAAGTTCAAAAGAATTTGGAACTCTACGTTAAATCGCTAAAGAAGCGGTGACACGGCTTGCAAGGAAACCGACCTTCCAAACAGCTCATCAAATAAAACAAAAAACAGTGCGAGATACTTTTACTATGGAAAAGTTTACTTTTGTATTTTCATATCTGAGGAATAAAGATACATAAATACCGTGAGATTAAAAATTTGCTCAAGTTCATTTGTATTGTATATCTTTTCCAAGTTGCAAATTCTTTATTAATCATCCTTCAAGAGCGGCAATCACGTCCGGATCGCCACTTCCTATGCTCAGGTGACGTTGTAATTGCAAAGCATCAAATTCTTCTCGTTGAAATTCAAGGAAATGCGATATTTCCAGAACCCCAGATCGATGCCGCTCACTTTCCTCTCTGTGAAAAGAGAAAGTAAATACGGGACGATAACAAACACGATACCTCGAATGAAATTCTGACGTTGGACTAACTCGATAAGCTTCTCCACGTGCTTTTCCAGCCAATTTTTCAATCTGCCAACCATGCGATCCTCTCGACCGTCAATTATCTGAAAGTCAAATTTCATAAAATTGGTCATATGAGTCAAAGACAGTTGTCGTCTCGGCGAACAATTTCCGAGATACCTGAAGGTGCACATCGCGGGAGGCTGCAAGATTATTAGTCAAGAGATCCTTGTCGCCACAAATTTCAAGCACATGAGGCGGTATTTTGTTTTCGTCATTTGTTCCGAAGCTGTTAATATAAATAGTGGCTATCGTATTAATATTGTCATTGTACTCGGCATCGGCATTTCGCAGCTGCGCAAAATAGCTCTGCGCCGCTTCAAGGAAGGATTCAACCATGTCTGTCATGTTTATCTTGAAAACTTCGTTTATATCCTAGAAAGGCACATTTCGATACCTTGAAATTTCGAAGCACTTGAAAACACCTCAAAACGAATCAATAACTTACATCCACTTGTTCGTGCAATACAACTTCCTTGTAGATTAGTTTCGTCCATATTCTCGATATGAAATCATTAAAATCCTCCGATAATCTTTGTGCCTGCTCAACTTTTTCCTCCAAAACGTCAGTCTCCAATTCCCCAGTCATAGACTCAATAAGCGTTTTGACGTCAAGAAAAATTTCGGATTTCCTCTTCATTACTTCATCCATCGTCCTGCGCGTTACACATTGTTAACTTTTGAGAAATTCCCATTTACACTCCAGCCATCCGTCCATCATTTAACCAATTACTTTCGTGCATCTTCCTGAACTTTCTGCTTGCCTCCGTTCACGATATCCTCGAACTGCCTGATCTCGTTCCTTCTCCTCGCTTCTTCCTTTAGGCCAAGTTCATACAATTCCTGACAAATGGCAGAAAAAGTTTTCTTGTATTCCTCGTAGGCCACTTGGGTGTCTTCCGTGAGGGTTATCAAGTTTCTTCCTTCTGTTTTATTATTAGCAAACAACATCATTAACGAAGGAGTCTCCATCGAATATAACAATTGGAAACCATATTTAAGTTATTAATGTTATGAGCATTTTGACCTCCGTCGTGCTTAAACATCTGTTCAAAGAGGTAATTGCCGTCCAAATATTCGACATAAGATTTTGAAAGTAAATCTATGTGCTTCTCAAAGGCACGCCGGGCGTCTTCTTCCTCTTTCTCCTTGGCTTCGTTCTCTTCTAAATTACTTATTGTTCGACTGAAATAATGAGTAATTGTCAGAAGAAATAGTGAACAAACAAAATAGAGAGATCCGATATGAAATTACTGATGCTGCTCCAGTGCTAACTGACGCTCCTTGTTGGTTATCATTTTATAGCGACAGTATATCAGCTGCGGTACAAATGCGTATAGGTAATCAAAGTATCCTTCTTTCTCTAAGCAAGGATTTCCATCCACATTAAAGCTGCGCAGTTTTTTCAACTTACGCAAATACATCACCTACAATAATTCGACAATTACAGCTTGGTGTATGCATACCTATCCGTAATATTATTATAGAAATAAAAATAGTAGCCGCGATACATGGTCCCAATCATCGATTTTATTATTTCCAATGCTGAAAATCATTAGTTGATGTAAATCGTCTATTCCCTGAATAACGCTGACTTTATTTTCATAGAGCAATAGAATTTCCAAGTGGGTCATATGATTCAGATTCTCCATTACACGAATGTGATTGAATGACAGATCCAATTCTCTCAAGTGTACCAGAACATCCAAGTTCTCAATTTTTTCAATAATATTATTAGATAACCTTAGCTTAACAAGATTGTGCATCACCCAGATATAATCAATGTTCAGTATATCTGAAATCGTAAAACAAAACGAGAAAGACACTCGTCATTCATATTAATTTTATAAGACCGATTCAATGCAAAACTCACTAAGAAATTCGATACGAATTTCTTGAATATCCTCAAATTTGATGCTGTCCTCAAGAAAGAGTCTGCCGGCCTCACCCTTAGGACCTTGTTCGATGACAAGAGATATCAGCATGTCCCGATTAATAACACCGGGCTCGGCAGACTCTTGAAATATTGTTGGTACATCCGACTGCATTACTCTTCTTTAAAGTAAAAATCACAGAGAGGCACGTAGAGACACGATTTGGAATTAAAGCTGAAACATCCTGAAACTCCTGAAACTCGTTTGCTACACTAATCCAGCCTTTTCAATTAGTGCTTACGCTCGGTTTACGCTTAATCGTTTGCACATTCATGGTTGCTCCTGGCAACAGGGATATGGTCGGTCCGCTTCCACGTTCCCTGCATCCGGCCTCGTTACTCCATTTCAACGTTCCACTTTCCCGCCTATCAGTTACGTTACATTGGACTGGTTGGCGCCACTGAGAACCATACATATAAGCATGGAGACTAGTCTAGTCTCCATGCATATAAGACTACATGACTGCACGGAATGAGGAGAACAGCCATATGTAAAAGATGGAGACCATCCGGGCCGAGTGAGATAGTTGCATAATGGGAGTCTCTATCCTTTTTCCACTTTACTATCCTATAGTAAATTTGTGTATAGCCTCGGACTAACCTCAAATCGGGCATACGTCAGTGTGCATATACATCGCATGTGAGTGATCGAATGTAAATACGTAAAGAGTATACATATACGTCGTATACTTACATACAGCAAGAAGGAATTATTACATTTCAGTGGAATTTACATACAAGAAGAGTACGTTTAAATCATAGTATGTTAAATACTATGTTATAATTAATGACAATAAAATCCACCAAGAATTAAAAAGAACATTGTAATTTGAATGTATTTGATTTTATTTTAAAATTATTTTGCCGTGGTATTCGTTAAGCTCTGTAGCATAACCTAGTTAGGTGAAAACGTGATAAAACTGGAAGGAGGAACTCTTTTCGAACCGACCAGGCAAATGTGAAACTTTTGTTCGTGCAACTATATGTGCATAAGCCAAGTGTGTGAGAGTGAAACAGCAATCCCCATTTGTCAACTATCTCCTTCCAGCAGGACGGCCCGGTTCCGAATACCCGCAGTTCTTATTCCAGGTAGTCTGTAGTTCCGTAGCTGTTGAAGCTTCGAGCAGTTCGGGATAAGGTAACGCTAGGTATACACGTAAACGTAAGCGACTCAGTGACCATTGGTAGCTTCCGCCCACGAGAAGTTCCTCCCATTGGTTGTGCGCCGTGACAATACAAGATTTTGACGTCTGGCTCTGCGGCCGCATAGGTCATATGATCCCATCATTCAGCGGGCTGAAAAACTTAGAAATTATCGACGAGCCACACTTCTGTCAGAGGTATCACTGTGTCTCGCTTATACTGAAGTGAGCCGGCCGCTAACAAGACACTGGAAGACACTCGTCAACGAAGTCAGGATGTCCTTCTTCGGTGTAAACGTGAATCCCTTCTCGACGCCAGTCGGCCAGAGGATAGGTGAGATGACACTCGTATTTCGCTTTGCGATCCCGAGCAGCACGCATTACTCACTCGCGCTTTTTATTTCCACTTGGCGACAACTTTCTTGCGCGCTGATAATACGTTGCGGATTTTTTGAAATCTCGATGCGACATCGGCGACATGCTCCGCTGCCCAACCAGTCCAGCATGTAGTCCTCGAAACTCCTTCGCTTTCAGCCTTGGGTTGCTGGCAGCCAAGGCAATTTTTCGGGTACATGCGTCGAGTGCCTGCGATCTCACATTCTGTCTGCTTCTGTATTCTTTCAGAACAAGCCACCGATGGAAATTTACCCAGTGAGAATTGGGCACTGAACATGGAAGTCTGTGACATTATAAACGAAACAGAGGATGGACCGAGAGACGCTATAAAGGCCATTAAGCGCAGATTGAGTCAAGCTGCTGGAAAGAACTACACCATAGTCATGTACACCTTGACTGTTAGTATGGAACTTTGAATATTTTGGGCGCTTGCCAAGCACCGTTACCGATAAGATTTAACTAGCAACTCGAAGTCGTCTTAAGCATTTCCCTTGATTGTTCTCGCAGCATCGGAAATACTTAAATCCACAGTCAGTTTTTGACACCGCGCAAATACTATAAATACTCATGCGTTTGTGCTCTCGATGAAAATAATAGAATAATATATTATATTATCATTTATCGTGGCCCGTCTACCTTGGTAAATTATATATAATTAGATCAATTAGGTACACGCCAGAGTTATTAATTGATATGACCGGTCACGGAGCCACGGATGGCATTGCGCATTGGGCTTGCCGTGCACAGTCCGAATCTGCGGTTAGAGTCACCCGAGACCACTTGTCTTACCGTCTTCGTGGCGGAAAAAGGAAAGCTGAGGAAATATCATTGCCGAGTCTCACCCCAGGAAAATATTTATTTTTTCATTACAAAAGAGATAGGAATGACAATAAAATGACTGAATGCAACTGCAGCATTCTTACTTGATTTCGTTTTCGTGTAGAATCACTCAATTTAATCTTTAATCTTCTTTTCAAAGGTCCTGGAAACATGCGTGAAAAACTGCGGAAAGCGTTTCCACGCTCTGGCCTGCTCCCGTGAATTCGTTCAGGAGCTGGTCAAGCTGATTGGTCCAAAGAACGAGCCGCCTACAGCTGTTCAAGAGAAGGTTCTGAGTCTGATTCAGACCTGGGCTGACACGTTTCGTCACCAGCCTCACACACAAGGTGTGGTTCAGGTATATCAGGAACTGAAGATCAAAGGTATCCACTTCCCGATGACCGATCTGGACACTATGGCGCCCATCATCACGCCCGAGAGAGTAATTAATTATTTTTCGTTTTCTTTGTACTCGAGACTGAGTCATAGGTCATCCATCAAATAGCAAAACATGAAAACATACATGGATGAAATCCCAGATTATGATAAACATGAGATAAGCAGATATTCACGTTGACACTGAACCTGCTTGAATGTTCACGCAGGCGAGCCTATGTGGGCGTATGCCTCGGTCTCTCAATACACCTATGCATATGTGCACATAAACTGCACGTCTACAGTGACAGTGACAGCAGCACAAGCATATATTCTGGATGTGATTGTTGTCATGTCAATGCTTCGGTTAAGAAGTATTTCTTGTTGGTATCGTAAAGCGCACTGCGTGCCGATATGTATTGACGATGGCTGACAAGACTCTCCAAGACATCGGCGAGATAACAAGATAAAGATCTCGCGATAATTCGGCGCGTTCAGTTTGGTCAACTTCCGAGTAAATGGAAATTATTAGGAAAATCGAATAATTATTTTGACATCACTGAAGGAAATGTCGTTGAAATACCTATATCTTGTTAATTGCAGAGCGTACCCGAATCTGAGCAAAATCTCGGAGGAATTCCGACACTAGAACAGACTCCGGCTGCACCGTCCACGACTCCGGCGCATCAGCCACCAATACAAACCTCCAGTCAGCTGGCAGAATTGACGGAGCAGCAATTGGCGAAGTTACAGAGCGAGCTGGACGTTGTCCAGGGTAACAAGTTAGTGCTCGCAGAGATGCTGACCTATCTCACCAGTCCCGAGCAAACTGCAAATCAGCAGCCAGATGCTGCCGACATCGAGCTATTAACGGTATTGCCATTGAGAAATCTGATAGGGGTGTGATCTTGTGCAATAAGAAATCTATAACGAGAACATATCCCCTCTCTACAGGAACTTCATTCGACGTGCAAAGCCATGCAAGAACGTGTCGTCGAGTTAATCGGTAAACTTGCGCATGACGAAATGACGGCCGAGTTGCTTCGCGTGAATGACGACCTGAACAACCTGTTCCTTCGTTACCAGCGTTACACGAAGAACAAGGTAATTCCAGCTAGTGCCATTCTGGCACAGACGATCGGACATCCGCCGAATGTCCAGACGACGACCCCTATACGTAACAAAAGAGAGGCAGACTCTTTGATCGACCTGTCCGACGAGGCGGAGGCTATCGAGAAACATCTAGCAGAAATAGGTAAGACGTTGCGACATTGAGTGCGAATGATTATGAGCTGGCAAGCTGATCTATGTTTTTCAATAAATAGCCATGACGGACGATCCCGACAGCAGCAGAATCGAGAGCAAGGAGAAGGAGGGTGATAGCGATGAATTTGACATGTTCGCCCAGTCTCGTAAGGCCACTTACGAAACGACGAAAAACAGGTTCGTGAAAGATCTTCCGATCGATTAGCGTGTTCTTTCTGGTCGGCTTGTCTGTCATTCCACTGGCTAATCGGAATGGATGGAAGCCCTAGCAAGGAAGTACTAGTTACAGTTACAGTCTTTTTATTACAGCGGCAGCAAGTACGAGGACAATATGGAGCAGGTGAGCGGAGATGGTCTAAGTACAGCGATTCTCAACCGCAGTAACAATAAGTATCCCCAGCAGACTGCTTCGACAGCTGTTGTTGTTGCTGCTGTTGCTTCTACCACTGCTGGCACTACCACTACTACCACTACCACCGCTGCTACCACTACGTCTACTACTGTGCGTAATGCTCCTCTCCTTACTAGTAACCTAGTAATTGAGCAATTTCTGTAGTTTCTTAGGACACAGAAAGCGCAATCTCGGATTGTCACGGGACGCGCAGCTTTCATGTTTCCAATATTTTCTTATGTCAGTAATTCGTGCTTTTTTATATCATTTCCTTCGCTTTTTCTCATAAACGCACAGCCTGTGCTCTCAAGTGCATATAATATCGAGCTACGTTTTTCGACATTTGCATTTAATGCGCAACGACGCTTTATCATTTTTCCCAGTCCCAGTCCTCCGGCGGCTTCACTTTCGGTACCGTAGTTTCCTTGAATCAGATTCCCATTGAGGTTCCAACGTGCACCGAGAACGTAACATCTCCCAGCATATTTTTGTCGTTGTGCTGAATGTTCGTTTGTTTTTTTGTTTCCGTCGCTCAGCTGAACAGGGAATCAGAATTCAATGAGATGGCAGCGTGGTTGGATCACACGGTGAGTAGAGGGTATTGCTTCTCGTTTGTTAATTGCGCACTGTTAATGAAAGTTCCTCAGCAGCACTGTGTTCCATATGAGTTTAAAGTTTCTGTCTCTATCGATAAAACATATATATTTCATTGTTGCTTTTGAAATATGACACGTGAAATATGATCGATGGAATAATCTCAATGTAATTTAACATTTCAGCCAGGCGCTCAAGGAGATCAAGAATCCCTGACGTCGTCCGAATTCGAAAGATTCCTGGCGGAACGTGCAGCGGCCGCGGAAGCTCTGCCAACGCTTCCCACGGTGACAGCTGCACCGAGTACAACCACCTCCGGAAATCCGAATATCCAGCGTCAAATCAATAAGGATCAGGACAAATCTCTGTTTGCCCTATAAATCTTTGGGACGGGTTTGATTCCTATTAACTTACGTCACCGATGACTTCTACTGATAATTTCTACTGATAATCAAGCGGCATTCGCCGATACCACGGATTCTTCCTTCACTCTCTGGCCAAACGTCAAGAGAGACGCCTGATGCCTGAGAGTGTGAGAGAGATGAGATAAATGGTCGCGTGTGTCCGTGTGCAATGCGTGAGAGAAATTACGTCGATTCGTGCTTTTACGTACTTACACACTCTAACTGACGAGTCGAAGAAACGCCTCCTTCTAGATTACGTTATTAGCTTTTCCATTTCGCCTTCTAATCTCTAACCCTGCCGTATTTGTCTTTCCTCCGGCAGTGCTGTCCACGTGACTTGAAAATCAGAAGGGGCCCATTAGTGACGAGCACTGACATCCGCGGCAGTCGGATATACTAATTTATATTGCATGTATGTACATAGAGGAGCGATGCACGAATGTAACCAACGTGTCATTTACCCAGCTGTAATTTATTTTGGGATCGAAGAAGATACTTTGGATTGGATAAATCGTAATCGTGGCCCGTCGCAAGAATCAAAGAATTTGTTACTTGCGCATCGTAGAGCGCATGCACTCCAATCTATTGAAATACCAATAGTCCCGTCGCTGATCGAAGTATTTTTTATCATTTCTGAGTAACAAAATGACTAAGTGAACAGTGTCAACCATTTACGATGAAAACATTTTGTATAGGGTTATTGAATATTGCATTACATAAAATTATGTGCATAGATAAACATATATAGTATACATATATACGCAAAAACCACAAGCACGCGCCCGTGATTAGAAATATATTATTATTGTTACTATTATTAGAATTAACATTGAGAAATGCATATCCACTGTGCGATGGGTGCATCTTTGTGACACGACGATGATAAGAGAATTTATTGGTATATGAGTCTCGTTTTGGATTCGCCGGGAAACAGTTCAGCACGATCAATCGGATTTCCTTAGATTTCTGGATGCATATAGCTATGCACACAATTAATGGGAGCTGCGCTGTTAATTGTACAAACGAGCGCAGAACAAAAGTTACATAATGCCAGTGCTTATTTTACTGTAGGCCAGTTATATATTTTTTTCTTCATTTCCACGTGTTTAGCATTCTCGTCCTACACGAGTTTTGTCATAAAACTTGAAGCATCGACGCGCACACTCTTGGCCTCGCGTGTTTACGATAAAACGTGCGTTTGCTTCCTACTTCCCGCCCCCCTCTCTCTCTCTCTCTCTCTCTCTCTTTCTTAAGCAACTTATTTTAATTTTTTCGATATTATACGTCTGAAGATATCTCCAATTCATGTATGGAATTATGCGAGAGCTGCATACTGCATAGATAACGTATTAAGATTGCACGGTGCTCAAGGTTAATTGCTGTATTCACGAAAATACCGCGGTAGAATTCCACGTTAGACTTTCCTATACCAGTTATTAAATATCGACTTCTCGTATACTTCTCATTGACTAACGTTAACCGTGTCCTGACGTACATTTCTATGTCTTCTTTCGAGAAGAAATTGTGCGACCCCTCTGTTCACGAATATCATTCCGGCCATAAATACCCATGTCCAACAAAGCCAGTAATACATTCGGGGGACTCGGTAACAAGAAGACAAGGCCAAAGCGATAATCCCAAAATGTACGAAAGGAGAGAAAGAATAGAATAGTAATAATGTGCAATGCAATTTTAATTGAAATTCAATTGCCAAGGACACTTTTTTGGATCCGAGAGCATTGAAGAAACTAAGAAGTCACTGCGAAAAAAAATCTTTAAAAAAAAACTTTTTTAGTGCTTGCAGTTTTATCAGACTTTTACATTTTACGTAGATGCACCTAACGTTTCTGTTACGTTTGTCCTCAAGTTCCATTCCGTATGTCCGAGTTGAAAATAAATAATATGATTAACGTGTGGAGACGCAGTGTAGCTCTCGCCAGGCACAGATCGATAAATATTTCAGATGCAACAGCTTATTAGTCAATCTCGCTGACCTACCGGGCCAAGAACGTTTTGTTTTAACGCGAGAGCACTTCTCTATTCTTAGCGTGATCGCGAAGAAAAACAAGATGCAAGAACGAAGAAACGAGGCGATTTGCAATTGGAAATTCTTCTCGGAGCAACGCAACGAACACATCTCGGATGGCTCAAACAAAAAAGGGGAGGTTCTATTCCAATTTCCACACGAGACACATTAATTCATCTTGTATTTTCGGTGTATCGCTTTTAACACGAGACGCGTAATACATATTATTTATACCAATAAAAGAGAATTAGTGTCGTAAGTATTCTTACTTTTCCCAAAACCTTCTTAGTCTGTAGATTATTGACGTCTCGTGCCTGCAATGCCAAAGTGAGCCAAAGGACAGGACAGTTCTCTTCATGAACAGGATCAAATCAAATATACTAAACTGACTGTGCTAGTCATACTTCACAGGCTTTGCGATTAGTTTCAAGTAATTTATGATCTTTAATGTATTTATATATTATTTACTTGATTATTGATCTACTGGTGGAAATTTATCAATACGAGTTCTAAAACATGTTTTGCGTTTCGTGATAACAGAACCTGACCGCCTGACGTAATAGGTGTATGTGGTTCAAAAGTTTATGAGCTAGCTTCGCGCGCCTTTTATTTTTCACGTGATAATTTTCAATGTCCGCAACAGTCTTCAGATACCCGCCTTCAGAAGGTTCTCAACCGCCATATGTCTATCGGTCCGAGTGACTCGTGAGTCAGTCTAACCCAATCTACGCGCTGTTAACCACGCTCTCAGGAATTAGGATTTGTATCTTGTTCCATCTCGAACAATCGTTGATTGTGGCCCATTGTGGCTCACTTCAGTGCGCAGCGTTGGTCGATCTCCTGTATCGAGATTCACTTAGTGCTTCTGCTAGAGTCAGCTAGAGTTCAGATAAGTCTCGAATGGTTAGGTGTTGCTCTAGGAGACAAACATTTCCACCCTTTTTATTAGAAAATCATGTACACTGTGTCAAAAGGACCTAGCAAAATTGTCGCCAAGACACGTCGAGGTACGTAAATGCGCTAAGGAATCATTGTCATCGAGTCTAAATACAAGAGTTCCTATATAAAGAGGCATGCATGCTGTAATAAACTCAAGAGAGAAAGAGAGAGAGAGAGAGAGAAAGTAAATGCGCTTTTCTAACAGGGATCAGCCAGAATCTCGAAAGGCTGGAGACTCTGCGGGACCTAACACGAAAGTCTGATCCCGAGGACGATCACGGTGCCATCCGGTAAGCCGCATAAGCACGAACTTATTAACTCTGTTTTTCATATTACGCAATTGCTCCGGTCACGCATTCTCCCCGATAATCTATAGGTTATATCCATTTGAAATAATTGGCATGACTGCCTATTAGCTTAGAACTTAATAAGACATACAAAACGCACATTGATATTTCATTATGATTTTTTACCATCGCTACACATATACATATCTACTTTTGCTTTGCAGTCATGTGCCAAAGCCAGTCTTCCACATGAATGGAAAATCGAAGCTCAATTCCCAAAGACATCAGATGCAGGAAGCGATTACGCCGCAGCACGAAGAGCTTATCAAATTTGTATATGAATGTAAGCAAAGACCTTTAAAGCTAAGAAAATCCTAAATTTTTTCACGTCACTTGTTCTTAGCCTATTCGCTTCCCCTCTGAGCATCAGTAATTTCTTTCTTTTATCTTCCTTCAGCATGGAGCCAAGTCAATCCTCAACAAGGAAGCGAATCTTCGGACGGTTCGGAATGCTCGGAACCCTCGAGTGAGTAACGATTTTACAATAGCAGCCGATCAATGGAAATTAATGAATTTGTGAATTTAAGAAAATGCAGGAGAAAATCATGACAGGCTTCAATCTACATTATTCTCGAATGAGTAAGGCTGTCTATTTGATTCACAGGTCCAAATTCCATAGTGTACTACAATGACGGTGAACCCAATGACAACCTTCAGGATTTCAAGCCTTTTGATCTGGAGTCTTGGTGGGGAAAGCGACTCTTCAACAACATCACAAAATCCCTTTGAGGAAGTCAGATCTCAGGAGAATATTCCGCATCAAAGCATAACCAAAAGTAGTTTATAATAAGAAACGCGGCGAGCCGAGAAACCCTCGCCCATTGACTGACCAGTGGCCCGTCGGGTGAACTGACTTTTGCAGTAATCGTGGAGTGCGTGGAGTCGAGAAAAAGAAAGACAGAAAGCAAAAAGAAACTGATGTCGAGTGATTCCAAGAGATGCGCATTGTCGCAGCTGTTATCAGAGATAGTCGTGAAACTCGAAGTGAACTGTTACGCTTCGTGAACTGCCAAACTTGCGGATTCGTTAGTTTTTAATCTTCCTGCTTTATTTTTACAACGCACAAAGCCACGAAGACAGCAGCCCGGAAGTCAACAAGTGCTACCTTCGGATGTGAATTCGTTATTAATATTGACGTTTTCCGGATACCTTCAAACGGTTGCGGCTAGTATAATGTAATTGATTGATCTTATCGATCACGCGCTCGTTTCTGTGTCAGTGGGTGATGGCTTTGCACAGCACAATGCGGAAAACGAATGTAAAGATCGAGAAGAAACAGGAAAAAGAAAATGAGAAAATAATTGGTGCTTCGGTGTTATTCCCTTCGGAGAATCGAGAAGAGAGGAAGAGGAGCTTCTCTCTGTATTAACGAAGTGAGTGGAAACCAACACAGATAAGATAAAATGAAGGGCATAGTGAAGAAGGAAGAGTCGAAAAAAGGTTGGGAGGGGGAGAAAGAGAGAGAAAGAGACAAAGAACGTTTCTGTAAAATCGTTTTGATCGCATCCATCCATAAATATGTATGTATACATGTATTAACAATCCGCTGTGCGTTAAAGAAACGATCGGAGTGTGTATCGATGGGAATGTCGCCTAACATTCAAGTTGAAGAAGACAAAGAGAAAGCAAAAATTGATGATGACATAATGTTGTATCTATTACACGAACGTCCATTTAACATGAATGCACGCAAGTGTTTGTAGTTATTGTTACGACGAGTGCATCGATTGTTCTTATCCCTTTAGCGCCGAGCGTTACATATTTCTAACACTCACTTAAGTACCACATAGATTTCTACTTTATCAATTTTGGAATTTTCCCAGGGGCTCAAAGTGAGTGCTACAAGTATGTATGCTAAACTAGCAAAAGAAGGACTCTTAGTTATACATACATAGTTTGGCTTCTCCAACCAATTATCGAAGACTACTCTTTCGCTGGTTGTACTATAACGCATTGGCGCTAAAGGGTTATCTACATAAACGAAATAGTATAACTTGGTAGACTGATACGTTTAAGGTTGTTATAAAGTTTCTGGGCGTTCCGAGGGATAGCAACAGTTAGTATGCAACATGAGCGTCAGCGTCAGCAACTAGAACTACTGTCTGTCCCTCTTGGTTTGTGCATCGAGTTAGCGTGTGTTCTCTCATTCAAGCAACCAGACACAACGATGAGGCAACATGCTAGATTTTATTGTTCCTGATCGAGTGCCTCCCTGGCCGCCTGCAGCTGTCGTCGCCGCTGCGTTACAGCTGGTCGTGACGCTGGATAAGTTTGTCTCCCGTGGCCGTTAATGAGTTTGCACCGCCGTGCCACACGCAACGCGCAGTGTCCAAACGTAGTCGAAACGTAGTGCAATAATTTTCAGCCGCGAACGAGGCTGGATATCGCAGTTGTTATACAGAATAAATATATCTTTGTACACTTGAACGCGCTCCTGCTTCTTTCTCCAATTCCATTTCAACTCTTTGGGAAGTGAAATCATTGGGCGCGTGCATTGCACCTTTTTCTGCTTTAATCAAATATCTTTGTCACGCCTGGCGCCATCTAGGCAAGTAAAGGTTTTTTAACTGAACGCGCAGAGTGCTTAACCTGCTTAACTTTACAACACACTGAGGAACGATTGTTTTACCAGCCTAGCAATGTCGTGCCAGAACTGTGTCCCGTTAGCAAAGTCAAGAATTCAAAGACTCGTGAACAATCCGACTGAGGCTGTTCGCGAGAGTCTCTACGGAATGGTTATGGTGCACAATGGACTTATACTTCTCGAAGGATGTAATGCTGTACTAAGAAGAGACTACAATGATCTACATGACAAGGTAAATAGAGTATCTGAGTTCATAGACAATTCTTTGCTACGTTAATTTTCACTTATAGTATACGCGAATTCATCGTCTTTATCTTGGAGTGATATAGGTTAAGATCGTTTCTGGAGGAGCAGCCGGTAATGAACCGTCGTTTGCTGGTTTCGTTGGACCTGGCATGCTTACCGCCGCGATCTCAGGAAATTTATTCGCTGCACCTTCGAGTGACACAATACTGAGGGTCATCGAGGAACTGGGAACTAATCACGCACCGGGTAATATAGTAGCCCAGAACCAGAATATTTCGTTGAAATGTTAAGCTCAACTCGCGAATGATCAATAATATTTTGTACTTGCAGGTATTTTAATGATAGTGCAAAACTACACCGGACATCGCATAAACTTTGCCTTGGCGAAATTGCGTGCAGAAAATATGGGGCTAAAGGTGAAGATGATCCTCGTGGCCGATGATGTTTGTTTAAAAACATTTGAAAAAACTGCTGGCCCACGTGGTCTTGCTGGCATCCTATTTCTACAGAAAGTCGCTGGTGCCATGGCAGAAGATGGAAAAAGTCTCCAAGAGATTTACGAGAATTGCAACCTAATTTCGAGTGAAGGTCGAATAAGTACTGTCAGTGTATGCACTAAGGTACCATTTCCGGTTGGCAGTTGCGCTTGTACAGAGGATACGATGCCTGTGCAAATGGAGATAGGTAGAGTTGCAACTGTCGACAATGGAACTCAACATGAGTAATGAACTTCGATAAGAAACATTCTCTTGAAAATTATTAATCCGGCTGACATTCAGGCTATGGAATACATGGGGAACCTGGAGTCTTGAGAATACACACTGCTACAGCTAAAAGCATGATTTCCAAGTTGCTGGAGACGATGGGAGCGATCACAGACGAGAACGGGAGCAGTTCGCTATTTGATCAGGAATTACAGGGTTCCAACAAGGACGTAGCAATTATGATTAATAATCTTGGAGGTGTGTGAGAAGAAATAGGATTTCCAGTCTGTTTTCAAAAACAATACATGACTACCGCTATTCTACTATTACAATGTTTCATAGGTTCCAGTCAATTGGAAATCAATATAATTGTACTGGAAACGATGCGACAGTTGGCAGGTTTTGGTATTAAAATCAAACGTGCTTACGTGGGAACGTTGATGACATCGTTGGACACGTGTGGCTTTCAGTTAACTATCATGAAAATCTTATCGGACGAAAATCTGATAAAATATTTAGACGCTCCAACAGTTGTTCTGGCTTGGCCAAAAGTTTTTAATCTGAACGATACAGAATTGGTAAGAGCCTCCAATAACAAGTCGCATCGTTACGTACACATACAAATTTTATTTATTTAACAGATAAACATTCAGAGAAAATTAACAACAACAGGAATATACGAAAAGGTAAAATCATTGGCTCTTCCATGTTACATTAAACTTTATTGAAAGAATTGTTTCCGTAGAATGTCTCAAACAACAAGATAGACTCGATAGGTCCAACGATACAAGACGGAACCGCAAAAGTGTTATTGACTGTCATTACCTTTGCCTGCGAGGCATTAATTGCTTGTATGGAACAACTAAATATAATGGATGATGACTCTGGTGACGGTGACTGCGGCAGTACACTGGCTCGCGGTGCTGCTGCCATTAAATCTGCGATTAAGGTAAACTTTTTGAAAAGCATGCTTATTTGTGACAATAAAATGCAACATGTTGATGCAACAGGAAAATCAGCTATGCGGCACAAGACCATTCGTGACACTCAGGCAAATTAGTGAAATTACTGAAAAGGAAATGGGTGGCCTTCAAGGTGGTTTATATTCCTTGTTCTTCGATGCTGCTGCTCAAGTACGTTTCTCAGTAATTCTAACGTGACACACTTGTATCTGAAAATTAAATAACAATGTAAGGTTTTCGCCGAGAGTTCGGAAAACGAAGTTGTGACTGCATGCACGTGGCTGAATGCTCTTACTGCCGGAAATAAAGCAATTGCGGCTTATGGGAACGCAAGCGAAGGCGATAGAACGATGTTGGATCCTTTGCTGGCCGCGCAAAATCGATTCGCAGAATCGCTTGAGGCAAATTTACATCCTATTAGAGCCTTTGGAGATGCCGTGAAGGTTGCGGAATTGTGCGCCATCGAGACTCTTCGCATGTCGGCCTCCGCAGGACGTGCCAGCTTGATACGGTGCAAGGTAACATTTCATTTGCACTTACTTTTGCTGTAAATTAATTTCCGCAAACTACATACTTATTTCTTCTCGCAAGACCTTTAAATATCCGGATCCTGGAGCACACGCAGTAGGAATATGGATGAGGGCAGCCTATGAAGGAATCAAGCTCAAACTTAGTTGCGATTGTGAATTCTGAAAGTCCATATGCATATGCATATGCATATCTAATAAATCATTATTTTCGGTGAGATTCGGTAGCGTCGTAGAGTTATTTATTATTCTTCTCACAATTCCTCTGAAAGTTATCAACCGAGTAATCTTAAACTTCTTTGCGTTCGGAAGTTCATAGTTTCTCTACCAGTAGACAGGTGGGAACTTTGTAATACCAGAGATAGTAATATTGTTTTGTACAATCCACTGTGCTTTTAAGTGGTAGCTGGTGGTAGGTGAGTGGCGAGTGGCGAGTGGTGGAAAGTAGCTAAATCACTGAGCTCTAGCCACACTGGAACGCGTACAGCAGTGATGGGGGCAACCAGAGAGAGATAGCAGGGACTAAGGCGAGTGTAGCAGCCTTTTTGTATTACACACTATACAGTCGCTGAAAAAGTTTAAGCTGAAATAAAGCAGTGCGCACGGGGAGGACTAATGGCCAATTTCTTCACCTTCGGATAAAATTTATCCTGCAGATAAACTTCTAAAATTTGAAAATGATTGATTAGCTGGGGATTTATACGGAGGATAAATTTTATCCGAAGGTGAAGAAATTGGCCATAAGCCAACAAAACAGAACCTGAAATAGTGGCACATATATTTTATTTCGAAGATGGCTAAGTATTTTTTTGTCCTTTTTATAAGGGGCATGGAGCCTGGATAGGATTTATATGTATTTACTGGCATTTCAATACTCTTTCCATCGCACCACGGCTGGCACTGATATGTCGGCGGGACAACATTTTTGCAGGGTTTGTACACCACATGCGCAGTTCAATTCGAAAAGGACAACCTCATCCACTCGTCAGCGAGAGGTCAGCGCGCTGGCCGGACTATCTCCGAATATAGGCGTACGCGTTCCAGTATGGTTAGAGTTCAGTAGGCTAAACAGGAAGGAGTATTCGTGCCGTTTTGTGCGCAAGAATGTAATCACGTCGAAACAAAGATTGACTTTATCGTAACATGTCATGTGTCTCTGACTGACCTTTATTTTTATTTTATCACGTGAAAATGTCGCGATATAATAATAATAATAATAATAATTTCTTTTCGTGTTCCTACTAGAATATAGGCAAGTACCGAGCTATGTATATCCATGTAGAATATTCGAATATTTACGTTCATCGAAAGTGCACGGCATCCGTACACGTTCGAGAATCATAGGTTAGGTCAGGAGTATTAAATCCTACACGAATCAGCTGTAACAATTAGGAATTCCCTGATCTGCCCTGCTTCTCAAACATGTCAAATGTGGTGTGATTCGAGAGGACATGTCAACTAATATGTTAGGAACAGACACAGTGGCCAATAAGATCCACCAAATTGAACTTTTTTTCTGGATTATCAGGTAATGTTAAGGACACCAAGAAAACGTCGTAAAAAGTATATCTATACGCGAGGTGCATGTAGCGTATAGAAACGGCAGGGAAGTCGAATTGTCGGGCGAAAGATTCCGACCAGAGAAAGAAGGAACGATGGACGCAGTGATAGCGCTGTGCACCTTTTGCGAGATTCACGGGCCCAAAGTGATCTTCACCACTCAGACCTATCGGAACTATGATGAGCAAAGCACTGAAAAACTTAAGTTTTATGGTCCAAAGAAGGTTCTTCGTGAAGGTCAAACCACACAAGATGAGAATCAAGGGGAATGCGGAGGATGCCAAAGTATCGACACAATTAAATATCTGAGTAACGAACACGATGCCAGGACTTCTTATCTGTCGGCCCAACGAGCCTTAACGCAGGACGTCCGCAATTTGCTCAAGCACGCCTGCATCAGGTTCGCGCTCATTCGTCATGGGACTTGGAGATATTGCGACGCGACAGTTAAATAATAATATATCTCCCCTGCCTTTCAAGGAGTCTCAGCTGCGAAGTGCATCCGGGAAAGGAAGGTGTCTGCTACTTTGGAGACGAATACAGAGGACATGTTCTCAGTCACACATTTACGCTCAAGGATGCTCAGGTAAGCTGCTGAGCTTGTTTCCTTTACGGGTTTAGGATAAAATAATTAGTGATGATAACTTACAGGCACGAGGATTCCGAAGATGGTGTAGCTTTATTGTCTTTATGAGGGATAAGCAATTCTTACTGAACATGTGGCCGTTCCTCGTTGACAACTTAAAGGAAGTCATTCGCGAGCTGCAAGATTATACAGAACGGAAATACAATGCCGACGAAGCCGAATGTCCACAAAGAGCTGTTCGTCTGTCAACAGCTAGTGGCGCATTCGGATCACAAACTATTTCAAATAAACAGCCACGAGCACTCACTGAGATTACAAACGAGGAGCATGTCTTTGCCAGGTAAATAATTGTTTCTTTTACTTTTTCGTTGATGCTTGTCCATTTATTCATTTACATTTTCATCAACTATTTGTAGAATTCACATGTGGTTTGTGTGGATACTGAGTGCTGGTGCGAGACACTTTGTCGAAATTTTGCCAATGAGTTTGCTGGACGAGGAACTCAATCACAATTTGGAACACCACGTGGGTATGGGATTTAGTACCATTAGAATATTAAATATCGACATTATAGAGAATTGCTGTTATTATAAGACTGCCTTGTATCTTAGAAACTGAAGAAGGATTTACGTTGGTCAATGCTAAGTCCCCAGTAAATACTAATTTGATACAAGAACAATCAGTGTTGATACCAGAATTCACTGCAATAACGGAGAAAACTCCAGTATCAATTTTGAGGGATTTAAAAAAAGTACTTGGAGGAGATCAGTTTAGACAGATCCTGTACTCAAGCTTAACCGGAGTGCAAATCTTAGTGAGAGGTCCTAAAGTTCAAACACTGGAATCTTTATATGGATTATGCTCTCTTGTACCAAGAGCATGCCAAAGGGTCAAGATACAGACTGAAGAATATCTCGACTCAAACATCTGTAATTTCATTGGTAAGTTTTTACTTATTACTGAAGGTCTCCCTAAAGCATACAGAATAACGATAAGTACTTTTAGGAGTGGAGACATCTGTAGCAGTACCTCTCCCATGTGCAAATGTGTGCAGGCTAGATATAATTCCTGCTGAACATCGATCTGAAAATGCTAGTACTCATTTGGTGAGATGGAGCGGCACGCTGCCTGCAAAACTTCCTACTTTGTTAAATAAAATAGAAAAAGCTTTTGATAATGAAAGACTATGTGATTCTGTACTGAGGGCACACTTGGCAGCATTACAAGAGGAATGGGCAAAGTAAGTTTACAAAATGATAAACATGATCTATTTACATGGTAACAGTGAGCTTTATAATTGACAGGTAGGAATCAGGGATTATTACAAATAGATATATTGATGTTGCAGCATCGCGAAGGTTGTCCATGCAATGCGGGGTCGTGGACATAGAGGTGACCTTTCTGGTCTTATGGTAAGTTTGGGGGCTGGACCACATGATCAAAAATTATTAGATGCCTGGTCAATGGGATTGCCATCGAATCCTGCGTAATGATTAAAATTCTTCATAGGTTAACACTTGTATTTTCATTTAACATTGTCAGTGCAAAGTATTTATCAACTATCAATCAAATGCTTTTTGAACGAGGCTCCTTGTTCTTCTGGGCCTTTGCACAGTTTATCTAAGGTTGTGCATAGTTTGTTATTTATAAATTAGTCGAGTCCTGCAGTGTAATGAGAGAAGGCTCAGAAGCACAAGGAGCATTAACAAAAATAGCTCTTATCAAATATTCGAATAAATTATTGTCTGCATTAGCACTACGACTGTCTTTTAATATTCGATTTCCTAAAGAATTTTAGATTTTATACAAAGAAGAAATTTAGATGTTATACTACAAAAGGATAAATAGGAAAAGAAATTATTGAACGTTCGAATATGGCCTAAAATTAAATTCCTTAACTGCGATAGTCTCGTTATTGTTCTCACGAGTTCTTGAAATACCTAAGCGACCGTCACATTATGAAATGACATGTAACATACCACGAATCTAATAATAAATCTCAAGCAGGACGTCAACATTTACTGTCGATGTTCAGCTGGAAGTAACTAGATTCAAATGCCGCGAAAAATTGACGGTTTCAGAATGTAGGATTCATAAAAAGTTTTCGTTATGTAGGTAGCCGGAAAGAAAAAATAATAGAATCAGCTGCAGTCAGCTCTAGGTTCCTAATACAGACAAAACCAAATGGCACAGATTGTAAATGATGCTAAGGGCGAACTCTGGGCAAGAGGGGGAGCGTGCTAAGCGCCGGAAGAGCGTATGTTGAAAATACACTGGGTACTCGACTCGGACAAGAGTCGTCAAACTTCGAATCTCTGGCCGAATCCGGTAAAGTTTCTTTCCACAGTTGGAAAAAGCCAGGCATCTTAATAAATCATCACTTGGTCCTCATGTTCTTAGGTCTCCCTAAAAGTTACTGAAACAGACGATCACGCGGTTTGGCTGCTCATTTATTGAAGCTAATCTGTAAGACGCCTGATGTTTGTCGATTACCGGCACATGAAATCTATCGCATGAAGATGTTCCACTGTACATTATATAACGTTATAAGAACACAAAGAATAGAATTAAAGAAACAAAAATCGTGTGGTTATTTTTTTTCTGTGTTTTCTTGGAATGTAACTTGACTGACGCGTGGTGGTGCGACGACATTGCGAATCGGTAATTCATGAAGTTCCAATCCGTCGTTATCGTAGGCGTAAGGGTTTTCGTCATCGGAATGCATTGGATGGACTTGACCAGCCATTCCTGGATGAGTTTCAATGTCATTGGAAGAAATATTGTCTTCGTTGCTCTGTTTGCGCAATTGCGATTTTTTGCGTTCTGCCATTACAGTCGTTCGCTGCTCTTCGAATGCCTTGAAAGCTCTGCTGGACATTCTCGCAGACACGAGTCGTGGTAGTGCTAATAGAAAAAACGAGAACGTTACAAAGCGCAATGTATAAATTACATTACATTGAAACAAATTCTTTTCAAGTTACCAGATATGTCGGCCTCTTTGAAGTTCTTGCGGAAGGTACTTTCGAATGTACCCACGGTCGGCCTTCTTTGTCTATTCTCTTCGAGCTTGTGTATGGTTTTGCGTCTTTTTGGAGAAATTGCACTGGACTTCCGGAAGTCCGTATCAATATCATCGACTTGTTGAAGTTCTCGCACGATGTCCAGGACATTATTGTTCAGTATTGTTTCTTGAGAGAGATCCGATGCCTGCCGATATGATATTCAAGAAATTATACAAAAGGCTTCGCTTATTGTTTAATTTAAGTTTTTACCTTTTTACAACAATAGCAGTCAAGTGTGGTATTTGCTATTATATGGGAGAAGGTGTTAAATCGATGGAAAAGCATGGCCACGAATTGAATCAGAAGGATTACCGCGAAGGCTATAATAAAAAGGAAGCCAATGGGTTCTAGTTGCAAGTATTCTTTGGACAGATGTACCTGTTAAAAAAAAAAAGAAAAATGAGAGAGAGAAAATAAGGAAATTGTAGATGCACAAACCTCGATGGATGCTTCGTCGTAGCTTATGATGTAGATGATTCCTAGAGGCCACTGGAAATGCAAGACGTCTCTGTTCAATTGCATAAGAAAGACAATCAGTACGAAAAGCGCGTTAATCATAAAGAACTTAAAGATGTACTCGTTTCGCAACTCCCTTAGATCCTCAGCAGTTTTCATCTGTAAAACGTCACTCCCACCAATCAAAATATAACGATAGAACAATGAAAATTCATGTGTATCTTGAATCATGTGTTATTCACCTGTTCCTTATTATCCAAATCTATGGGCCTTAGGTACTTTCCTATCAGATCCTTCCAGAAGCCTTCCTCCGGGTTCGTTAAGAAATCCACTTCGCTCTTGCGAAGTCGCTCATCCTGCAGCCAATAGGGGCTGATCAAAAATGTTCTTTCGCGATTCGCTTCAGAATTCTCGGTGACGTCACTCAGTTCCGAGGCCGTATCGCTAACGTGTGACTCAGCATCCTCTGCAGAATCTTCGCTGATCACCCCTAGGTTGTCATTGCTAGCGCCAATTCTGCATCCTACGAAGGAACTGCGTCTACGTCCGATTGGCTGTTGAGACTGATCCAGATTACTGCAGAAATACAATACAGCGGAGAAGTTGAAAGAGAAATTATATTGCATGTAATTAAATAGGGAAAATCCAGGTGCACGGGAAATTACCGACCGTTCCATTGTTTCTAACCGCGCATTGACTTTTCCCAATGATTCAGAAATGGCGTCAAATCGTCTTTCCTCCTCCGATGGCTTTCCGTGCGTGCACAATATACACTTGAACAGACCAGCAAGAGAGAAGACTATAGCTCCAGTCGTCGACGTATTTTTGGTCCCACTTAGAGATTTAAAGAAACCACTTCCTTTCTTGCCACTTGTTTCTTTCGCCTCCGCGGTCTCTGCTTGTTGTTCTTCTTGCAATTCCTGTCAAGTACTTGATGGACTTAGCCAAGCTGATAATCAAAATTGCCAGTCTATTTAAAAGAGTAATGTATTCTTCTCCTACCTCATCTGGTTTTTTGGTTTCTCTTGTTCCCCAAGTGATATTATTCAAGTTGAACAGTGAAAATATAATGAGCAACATGTACATTGAGGGCACGGTCACGTAATAAATAATTCCCCATACGAGACATTGAAGTTCCTGAGGATGGAAAAGCCCTGCAACGATCAGCTGGCCAGCTATCAGGAAGAATAATAGAGTGCTGGGGGCGAGCCAACCATCCTCCGCTATCTGGATCATTATCCCGACGAGTACGGCGACCATTACCAGGCCGTATACAGTGCTGATGATCGCCCCTATGAAGAGCTACGACAATACCCATCAATTGATTTATTATTCACGCCACTCTCGAATTAGCTCACGCGCTAGTCACCTGTGTGGTAGCTTTGCAGATACAGCAGACGATGACGAATATCAAAACCGGGATAAGATTATAATAGAAACTGGTCCACTCATCTATATTAAAGGCCGCCACGAATGCCCCAACGAGCATAAGAAAAATCGTGCCGGGTCCAAGAATCGTACTGCCTGTAAGGATCAGAGCGTTATGATGTCCTCGTATTAGCCAAGAAACCGGCGAGCTTCTTTATTGCGCACCCATTATCATCCACTGATAGAAGATATAAAGCCAGGATATGTTATCGTTTATCTGTCTGGTTTGTTTGGCTGTGCTTAGCAGGTCGAAGATGTTAGCCATGGTCGATGGAATCCAGCGTCGTCGCTGATTGTAGAATTCGTTGAATGTCTCGGGTGCATGAGTGTAGGCATCGCTGGCGGCCGAATATTCGACCTGGCGGAAAATAAAGCGTCTAGAGTTATGTAAAAGAAGTAAATATGGCCTCGAAGACTCACTCGATAGCCCATTTGTAAAATGAGCGTGCAGAGCCACCGATCTTCGCCCTGATCGTACTGCACATAATGTCTTGCCTCCGTCGACTTGGTGGCGTATTTCCTCATTACGTTGTCATCCATCAAGGCTTTGGCCCTGAAGAGCGAGAAGCAGCCAGGACTGCACAGCACACATCCAATCAGATGCTCGGTTGACTTTTGTAGCCAATGTCCAATCGCATATTCGAACATTTGAAACCACACCATAGGTCCTGTACAGCGATATTAAAGGGTTTGAGCTCTCGTTGCTTCTGATAATCCAATAGAAACAACCTCTGTTAACGCAGAAGACAATCCTACCAGATCCAATGGGATGTATGCGACCGCACGCCGCTCCCAAATCCTTATTCCTTTTCATCAAATGCACGAGGACCCTGACTGCCTCGGGCTGAAAATCTACATCCCCGTCCAGAGTGAGGATATACGTATTCTCGGCGATGACCTCCTTGCGATCTACGTCGATGGGAAGTTCCATCAATCGATATCCCAGCAAATAGTACATGTACATCACCTGTGAATTAATCGGAACTTTATATGATATCACTGCAGCAACTTAATGTTTCCTTCACGTATCATTTTAGCCACCTGACTCCAGCGTTTTCTATGACGTATCTTGTTCTTATCTTTAAGATGAGCAATCATTTTCGTTTTTCCAGGAAGCGTCCATACTAATCGACCTCCATATGGAGTTGGGTATTTGATTGGCGGCAACGCACGCATCTGCATCGCTTCGATATTAGACTCGACAATTTTCACCAGCGACATCACGTAGTGATTGACCTGCGACTCGTTCTCGTCGTGTTTGCAGGGCACGCTGCTGCATCCGTGCATGCAGCAAAACGCGTCATCGAAAAATATGTGTGCTACAAATCACACAGAGATCTTCCGTGAAATTCATGTATAATTTTAAGTACATTGAAAGACAAAGAATGGTCGCGCATACTCTCTAGTTCGTAATAATCCTGTATCGGTACTCTGAGATATTTCTGAGCGACCCGTCGCGCACACTGATCCTCATCCATTCTCAGGATGCTGCTCACAAATTGCGTCATTTCGTTCTTGGTCTCGTGCCACATAGTAGCGCAAGCATAAATGCGCGTCACATAATCGCTGTTCCTGACTTTCGATATGAAGAACTCGTCCGGTGCAGAGTTGGAAATCATCTGACTGTCCTCTTCTTCAACTATGACCTCTTGCTTATCCTATAATTATGAAGAACGTCGCGTGTCAATGACTTCAAGGCGTTGTCAATAATATTATTAATTACATATTTTACTAACAACGGCATTTTAATTCAAGAAGTAATATACCTCATCCACAGTGTCTCCTGGCGCATCGTCCTTCCTCCTATTGAGAGCCAAAGATTGATCGACTAGAAGAGAGTCGTACATGGGTACACTGAAGAGCCTCTCTGTGGATGCAAGTTTCTCAGATTTTGGCGACCAAATATGAATTGTAATCCACGTTTGAGAGAGTAGCCATAATAGCCACATCCAAGCGTATTGCTCATTTAAAAAGTCACCAAAAGAGACAAGGGCGGGTGACTCGAAGAATAGGTAGTCCGGTATTGTGTCGTGAAAGACGCAGACATCCTGGTTACGCAAAGCGCACATTATTACGAGTATAGTTATGCAGACGGGGACGGTTAGATTAATGGGAAAAGCAAAACTGAAGCCCTGTATCATAGTTTTGCACGCGAATCTTCCTGAAAGGGATCATTACGATTATTAATCGTATTACCTATGCTTCGTTATCTATGGTCGACAATTGATTTCTTGCGCTTACCGAAGAAATAGGCGAGTAGGCCAGCAAGCGAATGAATCAGCAGGACGTAAAGTGGTGCAAAAGTTTCGGCCGTGACGTAGCTGCTCTCGCCATTGGGAATCATTCCCGAGAAATCCGGAATGGTGTCGCCACCTATGCTGGACGTGATCTCAATCACTGTGACATTGTACTCGGCGAATGCATCGCTGAACAGCCGAAAGAAGGTGAAAATATCTAAACCGTTCCAACATGCGATAACTATGATGCTTGTTAGAAATATGCAGATTTTCCAGATGGTCACTAAAGCGCACATGATGCTCCTACTTGGCTTCAGCTCTTCCTTCACTTTCGCCAAGGATCTAATGAAACCTGCAAAGGCATTCGATTTCCCGTCTTTGAAGCTTCTTTATTGAGCCAGAAGTGAAAGAAATTGCTGTCAACAGTTTACCAAGAGGACTATCCGAGGATACGTAGTTGCTCCACCATCGGCAGGATATCAAACAAAGTGCTCCAGGCAGGAACCAATGCAACGACGATCCTCCTAAAGATGTCTCAAGAAGAGGCCAAACCACAAATGCCGTTGCTTGCACCAGCAATGCAGCGAAGTCACCGAAGAGCACCAAAAACTTCAAGGGGTCGTCGCGTTGCTTGTGCCTTGAAAGAAGAGCTGGAGGGGGAGAAAGAGAGAAGGGAGAAACAGTGAGACAGAGAGTGACGTCGATTTAATAGATCTTCCATCTCTAGTCTCCTTTCACTTACCCAGGAAGCCTGGAACGAAACACACGCAATTCGTGATCATCGCACCACGGACAACATCCATGTTTGGCAGCAGCAAGAGGAAGAGCATCGCGGTGCCCACGGTGTGGCAGGTCTCCATGAAGATCACAAGGAGAAAGGGTGCGACTCGCGGCATCCTCCACTTTTTGAATATACACGCGTTGATGCTTGAAAGTAGTGTGAAGACCTCCGGACCGATGAATGCAAAAAAGATGCACCACATCCAAGCAACTCGCCCTTCGTCCGGAAGAGTCGCGACAAATTGTCTGTATCTTCTTCCTGAAAAGGGATACAAGATACTTTGAGTCTTAATCGTAAAACCATGCTAGCGGAAAACAACTCACCAGCCTCGTAATTGCAATAATACGTATATCTCCTGTTCCTTATGTGAGACGTCATGAAGAGTATCGTACCCTTGGACACGACACTCCCACCCAGCACCACTATGAAAACCACGCCGTAGACGATAACTTTGACTGCACGAAGTAGTTTCTCGAAACACCTCTTGTCAGCCATCGAGCCAGTTTCTGGCTTTCGCATAAAGGTTCTGAACGCGTCCCATAATTGAATCTCGGCCTGCGGACTGTGTACATGCAAACGACTAGAACCTCATGAACAAGCGAGAAATCAGAGTTCTTTACTTTAAGAAAGTCTTACTTCTCCTCGTAATCTTCATTCGCTGAAGTACTGCCCTCGTCCGAGGAATACTCGCTCATGACGTAGCTGATCCGCGGCGCGTTCTCATAGCCGCCATTCGGCGTTTCTCTCGGATTTTCCAAAGGATTCATTCTTAAACCTGATCGTTCCAGGTTCCTTCTGATACTTTGGACTGCTGCCGATTGTTCGGCAGCTGTGTCTCTTGCCGACACACTTCCGGGTCGACAGCCCCGATGTCTGTTTACCACCCTCCGGTCCAAAATATTATAAGGTTTCTCTCGTTACCGCGTGTTTTCGACAGAGTATCACTGCTACCGCACAAATTCGCAGCATTTATACTCTAACAATTAGAAGCGTAAGAAGGAAAAAAGCACCATGACACTATTTCTTAGCGTTGACGATGATTAACTGTTATCTTGACGCATTGCTTTTTTCCAGGTTTAGGCCGGGCCGTCGATAAAGCGTCATCGATATATTTTTCGTCTATCGCGCGACGTAGAAGGGATAAACGTTTGTTATCTGACATTCAGTCAGATAGCACAAGTAGCTGTACGTATAAGGATCGTGCCGCCTTTTATTCGTAGTATTATTATATTTACAAAATGCATAAGGAACGTACATTTTAGGTGGGAGAGTGGAGAACGGATACGCCCAGTACCAGCGCATCGTTGATGATCAAGCCAAGAGGTTTCCGCTTCGAATCAATGATTTCGTGTCGATCACTCCAAGAGAACAAAGAGACACCAGCGCGGCTCCTTGCTCAGCCCACTTTTTGTTTTTCTCCCTAAGAACAATAATAAAAAAGCAAAAGAGTCGTGCAATCAAAGTACAGATACCGAAGTTATGGGTATTCTATAACTCTACCAAAAGGAAGAACTATATTTCTTCTGATCCACGATAACGATGGATCTAAAAAGCTTGTCTTCCTTCCAGGTGTCATATGTTGGCATTTCTTTTTTATTCTCACGTATCCACTTGAGTAGCCGAGTCTTCGGCAAGTCAATGTCGGACGTGTAATTATTCCTGAGAAAGGAACAATTCATAACGATGACATCGTCATTGTCGTATTTTCGCTTCACGCCTCTGGAATTATCGAGCGACATCGGGACAACCTGGAATCTACCCTGAAGACCATTCTCGAGGTACTCTTTACGCTTCGAGCGACAATACTCTCCCATCTGCCACACATCGCTACGGCAACAGCGAAAATTCTTATGATAGTATCAACCATATAAATTGTAACGTGCTGATCGCTGATAAGACATCAATTGCTCACCATATTTGTTCCAATGTCTGGGCATTCAGAAATTTTCTACCAAACGGAGTTTCCTGTAGATCGCGCAGGATATTCTGCACGCAGTATTTCGTATTGGATGGCGAATTGTCATAATCTACGGCATACTTGAGATACGCCTTTATTACATCCTCAATTGGCAGAATACCATCTTTTCTGAAAATGGAACAATTCCATTCTGCAGCTCTAGCGAGCATTACACTGCTACATTCAGTGTCCGCTTTAAATTTCAAAATATCCCGATGACTCTCTATCTCTTTGGAACCGCCATTTGCGATTACAGGTATTGGCAATCTTCCAGCGATTTCGCGAAGAAAATTGTTGCGATTCGGATGCTGAGGCCTCTCATCCGTCGTTCTTCCGTGCACAGCAATGGCAGATATTCCGGTAGAAAGGAGATTCTCGCACAATTCAAGTGTCTCTTCCACATTCGAGAGTACTCGAATCTTACATGTCACTGGGATATCGATTCCATTGACCAGCGTAGTGAGAATGTCTTTTGCTCTGTCTCGGTTCTTGAGAAGAGCAGCACCCATTCCACCCATCATGGAAAATTTCTTAGGGCATCCCATATTGACATCTATACCGGCCACGTCATGCTGCACCATGCGCGCAACCTGAAGTGCTCTATTAGAATCGCATGTGCCTAACTGGAGGACGACTCTGTCCCTTTCGCGAGGACAACTGCGGAAGACTATAGTACCGTCGGTGCGATCGATATAGTCAACAGTGCCGAGTACTTCTGCAAAGAGAAACAAACAGGAAGAAATATAGGGAATACACACGCAGGAAAAAAATATTTAAGGGACTGCGATCCTCGGACGTATCTATACTATCCGTAAAAAATTATGTTCCGTAATATCCCCTTGCTTTGTCTTCTTCTTCCTCTTCCTTTTCTTATAGTGCATTTTTTTTGGACCACACACTTCATGACTATAATACCGTCGATAAAGGAGGAACCTAACCTAACCTACCGTTTGGACGACGTATCGAGCGAAGGAGTTTCCAGTCGATCAGTTCCTCCGTGTAGACTATGTCGGCGCCGTAGTCGAGAGCCAAAAGTCGCATGGGGAGCGTCCCAATGCGCACCATCGGTGCTAACATGACTTTTCCTTCGTACTTCAGTCTTGGTCTTTGACTTGTGGTCTCTGTCGTCGACATTTTTGAAAGAGCAGCGGACACTAAAGATTCTAGTAACTGTTAAATTATCTGCCTGCACTATGTCTGCGCTTAGAACCAATACCAAGTGGGCAACGAGCTCGGGTTGCGTCAACCGTGGTCGAACGTCTCTCTGCGTTTACTGGCACGTTCGCAGATCACCCATCTTCGAAGTGAGTCCCGTTTGCCGAGAGATGACAGCACGAAGTGAGGCCTGTTAAACAGGATTGCAATCTACGTCCCTTGATGTCGCTGGCGCCCATTGACGACATATTTACGGAACTACTACTGAATAGAGAACAGTCATGTCGGGCGGCCGTAGCCCAGTGGATAGGGTAGCGGATTCACGACCGAGAGGTTGGAGGTTCGTGCCCAGCTTCCAGCGGTATTCACCAATGAGTTTTCATATGAAAACTTAAGTGAGTATTTATACGGATTTCGCCCAACACTGTTCGGATTCGGTGTATAAACTTTTTAGGTCCTTTATCAGCGCCGTCTAGATAGTTCCTAGACGCAGAGTGTGCTAAACTAAAATTGTCTTAGGTGCTGCCGTAGCCCAGTGGATAGGGTAGCGGATTCACGACCGAAAGGTTGGAGGTTCGCGCCAAGCTTCCAGCGGCATTCACCAATGGGTTTTCATATGAAAACTTAAGTGAGTATTTATACGGATTTCGACCAAAACGGTGTATAAACTTTCTAGGTCCCCTCACGCTGAGTTGAATAAGGCCCATCTCGCAAGGTACATCGCCATCTATTGTCGAACTTCCAACCTTGATTATTAGGACCAGTTACTGGCACATGTCCCCCATTGGGGATACAGCCATAAGGAAAGGAAGGAAGGGAAGGGAAGGACTGCACTTTTTACTAGCAGAGATGAGTGGGGAGATGCACAACGCTCCGGTTTTAGGCGATA